TGAACCCAGAGTCAAGGGCCTTCCTGGGTTTTTCCTATTCTATTATATGTTTTCTTATCTATAAAAAAATTTTTTTGTAGAATATCAAAACCAATCGTCCAGACAACTTTCGTAAACATGACTATTTAACTCTTAGCACAATTGTTCCAAAAGCAAAAATTCCTCATCAAAAAATTGAAGAAAAAAATTGTGCTCAAATTGTTGATGAAGATTCTTCTCAATTCAATGAAGAAAATAAAAATTTTGAATTAAAAAAAGAAAGAGGTTTAAGTAGAACAAATGCTGTTAGACCAAAAATTTGTGAACAATTAATTCCTGAAACTATAAGTAATGCTTCTTCACCTTCGGATTCTTTGTCGTCAGAAGGTTTTGTTGTTAATTCTGAAGGTTTTGTTGTTGTTAGTGCTACTGGTGCAGGTTTATTTTCTTTTTTGTGGGTTTTTTGGTGTTTTGTATTTTTTGGTGGTTGGTGTAATAATTTTGAGGGGTTTTTTGAGTGATCTGAGCTGTCACGAATCCTCTCCCCTCTCATTTGGTATAACTTTGTTTGGGTTTTTTGAATTTTGCCCCCTGCCCCCTAATTTATTCATAGTTCGTTTCTTTAAAGTATTTATCAAACAAAAATTATCCAGGGATTTAAAAATCTTAAACGAAGTTATATTAGCCCTTCGATGGATATTGAGTTACTATAAATCATCGAAGCTCCCGATTTTTTTCATTTAAAATTTTTTTTAAGATTTCCACAGCCCATCTCATCCATCTGATAAATCGTTTTTTAACGTTACAAATTTATTTAATCGAAGAATAAGCCCTCCTCATCATCAACAACAAAATTTATCATCAATTACACCAACATCAGCACGTAATTCAATACAACAACAAAATGAGGCTAATGAACATGTAAAGGGTTCAATAAATAAAGAGAATCGAAAATCCTCTTCTTCAAATCAATTAATATCAAATAGTATATTTTATGTTCCCTCAACAACAACAGCAACAGTTGAATCAAAAACTACTACACCTGAAAGTGATTCATCTTCATCTTTTGATCCATGTAGTAATGCTTTAAAATTAAAACGTGGATGGATAAATAAACTTTTTGGAACATCTCCACGTCCTTCTATTTGTGGTGGTGTTGGTGGTGATTCTGAAGTAAATTTGGAAGATTCTGTTCAATTGGAAAAATTGGAAAAGATTGGGTTTGTTTTTAGTAAGTAATTTTTTAGGAGAGGATTTTTGATGGTTTTTTTATTAACAAACTTTCACTATAAGAGACCTTCCTTAAGATGCTCTCTATTTAAGGTACTTGAATACCTTAATTTATGATGCTTTTTTTTAACTTGTTTGGTTACTGGGTCGGGGTAGCTATCTAATGTAAGCGATACCCTCTATCTTTAAGTTAACACGTTATACAGTCGACCTCCCTCATATAAGATACACTCATAATTAGGTACACTTTAATTTAGGGACACCTTAATTTAAGGCACGCGCTCTTTAAAATTTGCTTGGTCATTTTATTGGGCGATGTTTAAGCGATACCCTCTACCAAGGGCATAGGTTCGATTTCATGTGGAGGGGCTAAAATAGGATGTTCGCCATAGTTTTGGAATAGGGTGTCCTCCCTGGCTACGCCCTTGCCCTCTACTATTTACGGTACGATTTTCCTGTCCGAGGGTGTATCTTATTATCTTTTTTGACAAAAACTTAAGAAAAAAATTTTTTAGTTTTGATAGACAACAACACGAAACTACACCTAAATATAAAAAACGAACAGAAAGTAGTAATATAATTAAATCACGTCATAAATCATCTAGTTTAAATCCGATTCATCACAACTCAAAAGAAAGACTTTCAATAAATACAATTATACAAATGGATGATGATTATGGTGATTATGATAATTACCAACAAGAACACCGACCTAATAAATCTTTTAATTTAAATTTTGGTTTGATTTTTTTATTAAAATTTTTTTTGGAAATTTTTTGACCATTTTGGGCTTTTTTGTAATTTAAAAAAAATTTTTGCTTAAAAAATTTCAAGAAATTTTTTTTCTTTTCAAGAGCCTATAGATGAAAATTATTCAAATTCTTTAACAAAAACTTGTAATTCTGCACGTTCATATAATGATTTAAATAATACAAATGATAGAAGAAATATGCAATCATCACGTTGTTATATTCAAGAAGAAGCTGATTGTTTTCATCAAAGATCAAAATCTTCTGAAACTCCGATAACTTCACAATCAAGGTTTTCTTTTTCTAATTTTTTAAGAGGTTAGGAATTAATTTGAGGGTTTAAGGTCTCGTGGTTGTGGGGGGGGGGGGGGGGGGTGAAGAAGCAGGAAAAAGTAAAATCTTCCTTGCGAAGGTATAATTCTTGAAAATGTTAAGGGCTTAAGCGAAGTTTAAAAGATCTTAGGAGGGTGGGGTTTGAAATGTGATGATAGTGAGAGGGTGGTATCTACCGATAAGACATAGTTGTCTATATTTCACAGAGTTTCTGGTAGCTAAAAATTTTTTTATAGAAACGATTTGTTGAACTTTTTGATGCAACCACCTACAAACACTACATTTTTTAATCCTTCATATATCTCTATGCAAGAAAATCAAAAGGTTTTTAGTTAATTTTTTAATTAAATTTTTTGAATTTTTAGGCCCTTGTACAATCTGTAACTCAAAAAAATCAAGCACCAATTCCAATGCCTAGGAAAAATAAAGTTACTTCTTTGGTTCCTTCGTTGGGTGCTCCACGCCAAGTATCAGCGAATGACCAGCCTTGGCCAACATCTGAAGCTCCAATGCTTGAAAAGGAATCGAAAACTTCTATCGCTACTCAACAATCATCGTCAATTGTTGTTCGTCCAAATACTTTGCGCTTACTTCCACCACAACAACAGACAACCACAATTTCGCCTTTAAATAGTTTAGCAACAACTACTACAACAACACCTTCAACTTCTACAACAACAACTACAAATACATTTTCGCATTTACTTCAAGAAAATAATTTATTAAGACAATGTGACAGTGGAATATATCCTGAAGGAAGCACTGACGATGTTTGTAGTTATTTTACAAATTTTTAAGAATTAGAAAAATTATGGGGATCAGGGATGGGCTGTGTTGAGGAAAAAAGTTAGATTGAGTTTTCAAAAAATTTTTCAGATCGAGTTTCGTATTTTGGGTCGGAAAAGGTTTTGGGTATCAAGTTTGCGTAACCCGCCCATATCTTATTTGAAGTAGTTTTTAGATGAACCTGTAGTAGTATTTTTGCTGATTTATTTTTTTATGATTTTAATTAGATATATTTTTTTTAAGAATTTGTCTACAAAAGCAAATTTTTCAAAAAGAAAATTTTTTGAAAATTTTCGAAAAATTTTTTTAGGGTCACCCTTTCTGTAAGAAAAATAATTCTTTAATATTTATTTTTTATATTCATTTATTTTAAGGAAACAAAACTTCAACATTTGGATTATCCTTGTACATCTTCAGATGCATCTCCACAAATTCGTCATCGTTCAGGTTTAAAATTTAATTTTTTTTTTTTGAAATTTAAAAATTAAACAAAAAAAAAGATTCTTCTTCTGGACTTCCACTATCTCCTCCACCACCTCCACCATTATATCCAAAAAGAACTCATGGACAAAGAATTCCAAAACTACCATTTGATATACCAAGAAAAGTTGAAAGATTTTCATAAAAGAAGATTTTTAAAAAATGCTGAATGAACAACAACAACAATAAAAAGTGACCTTTTTTAAATGAATTTTATTAATCAAAAATCTTTTATTCTTTAAAGAAGAAACTCGTATTTTTTTAATTTTAATTTTTGTAAATTTTTTTTAAATTTTAGAGATAGATTACTTGCCCAGTAAATATTCTAATAGAATCCTTGGACCTATTGGAAGACCCCTCAATGGGACCTATTTGCGTAAGGAATATAAACTAGGCTAGTGATCAGGCTGGCTAGGTTATTCATACTAGTTGGTGGGCATTTAAGATGCTTACATGGCGATGGTTTAAGATGTATTAAAAAAAGATTTGGTGCAAACTGTGCCCCAGCAGTTCATTTATTAGGACATCTGTACGTAGTGAGCAACATGAACAACAACGATGTATTAAAAAAAGTTTTTTCAAAAAAGTTTTTTCATTAAAAAAAATATTTTCAATAAACCTATTGGAAACACAACATCTTTCTCGCTCACTACGTACAGATGTTGTGTTTCCAATAGGCTTTTTTTTCTCAGGGCTTCTATTAGAATATTTATTTTATTCTAATTTTTATAAATTAAATGGAATTTTTTTTAAAAAGAATTTATATATAGATTTAGTATAAGAGGACAATTGATCCCATTTTTAATTTAATAATTATTATTCTAAATTCGATAAAAATTCGCTTACAAAAATTTTTTTTCTTGTTTTTTAATGAATTATTAAATTTATTCTTTAATATTTTTTTGATTAGAAAATCAAAATTTTTTAAAATAATTTTAGGTTGTATTTTCTTTATTTTCAATAAATTTTAATGAATGGATTTGATGAAAATATTATTTAGAAGAAATTTGTTTAATGTTTTTAAATTACAACGACGGCTATGTTGGTCTAGTAGTGCTGAAGAATTCTTTGCTAATGTTCCAAGGTTTTTTTTCTAAAATATTTTTTATTTTGGTGACATTTGGTCCTGTCATCGATTATTAAATTTTGTTGTGGGTCAATGGCAGTGATACAAGAGGATGTTGACTTAGGTGACGTTCTCTTCCGTTTGTCGAGGGTGAGAACGGTATTGACAGGAAGTTGAGTTCAACCTGCTCGCCAAAACGCATACGAACTTGATGCATGGGTCAACATCTTTTTTATCGCGGCCGTTGCACCACCACATTTTTTGCTATCATTTTTTAAAGGTTAGCTGACGTTGACAAATTTGATGCAAAATTGGTTGAAAAACATTATTTTGAAAGACCTAAACAGTTTGAATGGCCAAACAGTCCCAACTTTACAATGGTTTTGCCTCCACCAAATGTGACAGGAAATTTACATGTTGGACATGCACTTACAGTTGTTGTGCAAGATAGTATTTGTCGCTATAATAGATTGTTGGGAAAGGAGGTTTTAATTTTTTGTTGTGATTGAAACTCATAGGCTCCCATAAATCGGTTTATTGATATTTTCTAGGTTTTAGGGTTGTTGACCCTATGTGAAAATAAACGTCCCATAGATTACTTTATTAAGATTTTCCAAGTTTTTTAAGGTTTGGATAGGTTCATTAACTTTTTTTTTGATGTTTGAGTTTTGTGGCCGGTTGGAACTGGGTTTGGGACAATTGTAGTTTTTTTTTGGTATTTATAATTTTTGGAAGCATGTTTAAGCATTTAATTTTTGTGTCTTTTAAAAAATTCGAAAAAAATTTTTCTTTAAAGGTTCGTTGGATACCTGGTTTTGATCATGCTGGTATAGCAACTCAAACAGTTGTTGAAAAACATATTTTAAAAAAATTTGGAAGGAAAAGAGAAGAAATATTGACAGATGAAGAATTTTTGTATTTTTGTGATAAGTGGAAAAATGAGTAAGTTTTTTTCTATTTTTTTAAATACTCAAAAAAATTTTTATAGACGTATTGCTGATATTAAAAAACAATTAAATTCATTAGGATGTTCTTTGGATTGGGAACATGAATTTTATACATTGGATGAGGTTTGTTTTGTTTTTAATAAATTTCTCCTTCACACGAGACAGACTGACCTATCCTTGGCATCCTTCATACTAATAAGTTCTAGTGAATGATTACACAAACCCGCATTTCTTTTAGTCTTAAAGTTTGTTAAATCAACTAGTTTTTTCAGGATTTTTCTGATACAGTTACAGAAGCATTTGTTCGTTTATATGATTTGGGTTTAATTACTCGTGAAACTCGTTTAGTCCAATCATTTAATGAAAATGAGCCAACAATGAAAGAACAATGGTTTCTTAAAATGACTGAAATGAATAAAAAATTATTAAAAGATTTGCAAGAAGAATTGTGTAAGGTGTGTTTTTTTGTCTTAAATTTAGAAAGGGAATCTAACCTTAATTTAAGATACGTTTCTGTATTGATTGTATATTAAGTTGCGGAAAAACTGTTTAAGCGACACCGTATATTTAAGGTACCCATCATGGAATTTCATCTTTTGCCAATTTTTGAATTTTTTTGACTTTCGCCTTTTGTTTTTTAAATTGTTTTCGGCAGACCCCAGCTAGGTATACTTTGCCTTTTTTAACTTGAGTGGTCACTGGATCTGTGAAATGATTAATCGATACCCTTCGTTTATGATACCTCTAGTTATAAGACTGATTTTATCTAATCTCAAGGGTGTATATTATAATTTAATACAAAAATCTTTTTTAAGTTTAATATAAATCCTGCTACCGTTAAAGGCAATTTGATTGAATTTTTAAAATTTGAAGAGCCTTGGTGTTTAAGTAGACAACTTATTTGGGGACATAAAATACCTGCATATTTTGTTGAAAGTTCAAAAAGGTTTTTTTTAGTAAATTTTTTTTATAATTTTTTTATCAATAGATGGATAGTTGCTTTAACTGAAGAAGATGCTCGCGAACAACTTTTGCCTTCAGAAAAGGATTCTAAATTAATTCAAGATTCTGATGTTCTTGATACTTGGTTTAGGTTAATAAATAATTTTTGGAATTTTTTTTGACAAAAAAATTTTTTTAAGTTCTGCATTAATTCCATTGGTTATTGGTGATTATCCTAATGGAAATAAAATTAGTTTAATGGAAACTGGACATGATATAATAGGTTTTTGGGTTGCTAGAATGTTGGTTATTTGTAAAAGGTTTTTTTTTAATTTTTGGAAAAATTAAAAAAAAATTTTTTTCCAAAGATTAACTGGCCATTATCCATTTTACAATATTTTAATTCATGGTTTAATAAGAGATAGTCAAAATAGAAAAATGAGCAAATCTTTGGGAAATGTTGTCGACCCAATGGATATTATTAATGGAATAACACTTGAACAAATGATTACAAGAATGAAAAGTTCAAATCTTCCACTTGAGGATATGGGTAAGAATTTTGTTTTTTTTCGGAAAAGTTTTTTGCTAAATTCTTTATTCTTTTTTATGTCTTTCTGTAATCTCTCATATTCAGATTTTTTGTATTTTCTTTCCGAAATTTTTTTTTATTAAATATTTTTGTATTTTTATACGGGACACGTTTAAATAGGCGCGCAGCTATACCGGCGCAAAGCCATAATTTGCTGAAGAATTTCTGACCCTTATCAAATTTTAGTGCCATCTTTTTAGCTCACTATGAATCGTTTAAGACTAAATTTGATAAGATTCGGAAATCTTGAAGCAAGTTATGGCTTTGCGCCGTTATTGCCGCGCGCCTGTTTGGGCTGTACCTTTTTTAAGTCATTATTTTTTTCTTTCCAGAATGCTATTATTAATTTTTTTATCTATAATTTCCCCAAAAATTCAAATTTTATTCTAATTTAAATTTTCTTTTTTATAGAAGCCTCAGAAAAAGATTTGAGGAAACGTTTTCCTAATGGTATAAAAGCTTGTGGAGCAGATGCTTTGCGATTTGCACTGTTACGACATGATGCTACAGATTTTGAAATTCATATAGATATACCTCGTTTTGCTGATGAAGGAAGGCGTTTTTGTAATAAAATATGGAATATGTGTAAATATGTTGAAAAAGTTAAGAAAGAAAATAACGAAAGTTATGATCGAGGGGAACAAAAAAATGTTGAATATTTTGAGACTGAGAATGTATGTGATTTTTGAAAATTTAAGAAAAAAAAATTTTTTTTTTAATTTTTAGGATGCCGATATATATAGAAAACTTAATCAAACTGTTCAACTTTATTATTATTTTATGGATAAGAATAAACCACATTTAGCATTTCATCATTTATATTTGTTTATTTTGGTTGATGTTTGTGACAATTATTTGGTATTTTTTTTTAAATTATAATAATAAATTTGAGGAAAAGGAAGGGTTTCGTATGTTTAGTAGCTCTTTCTCGAGTCTTGTAAAATTTTCGGTCTTGAATAATTTTAGCGTTTAAATAAATATAAGTGTGAACGAACCTTAGCAATAATCTAATGCTTGATAAAAAATTTTTTCGTTTTTTTAAACAAAACAAAAACGTTTTTAATTCAAAAAAATTGGAAAAATATTTGAAAAAAAATGTTATTTTTCAATTTTTTTAGGAAAGCACAAAACAAGCTTTATGGACGAAAGATTCACAAAGATTATTCATGATTAAAATTACTCTTGGAACAATAATTTCAGTTTCTTTAACACTTTTACAAACTTTTATGCCATTTGTTTCAACTTTTTTGTTGGATTCTTTAAACTTTAATGGTCTTGGTAAAGAGTGTTTGTCTGACTTATTGCGTAGATTACCAGACTTAACTGATGAAGAATATCATAAAATTAATAATATTTTAATTGGAAAGGATGAAAGAAAAAAACAACAACAACAAGAGATGAAGGAAATGAAAGGGGAGGAGGAGGAAAATGTTTATGTTTTTGAAGGAGAAGAAGAACAACAACAAATACAAAAAACTTAGATTTTGTTGCAATTTTGTTATTTTGCAGATACAAACAACAAGAGGATTTGCGGTTAAAACAAACTTAATATTGTTTTATATATTGAACTAGTGGCTAACTTTATGTGTCATATCTAGAACAGTTGGGATTCTGAAGTATTCCCGGATATCCGAAATGATGGGGTTGGGGACGTTTTGGCGCCTTGCCGTCTTGGCGTGAGAACAAAAAAGTGGCACTTAGGCGGGACCTAATTTTATAAAAATTTTCTCAAACTTCTTTAACATCCTTGACTACCTCCTCTAGAAATTTCAGAATTTTTCATCAAAAATTTCTCAAGTTATAGTCGATAGACCTCGAAAAATTAGGCATTTTTTTTAGAAAATCAACATTTTTGGCCACAATTTCCGAAATTCTTGATCAAAAATTTTGAAATTTTTGGAGAATCTAGATAAAGGCATGAGAGTTATTATTACAAAATTTTATCTTTTTTGATAAGCAACTCACTGTTTTATAAGCTCGCGCCAAAACGTCCCATATGGTCTAGTGTTGATGGGTTTGGTGGATCTTGGGAAATCTCCTAATATATTCGGGTCCGATATTCTAACCGAAGTACTAGCGCACCTATTTTATCGCCATATTGTTCAACTAAAACTCTGATTTTATTTAATAAAAAAATTGTTTACAAAATTAATTTGTGTCTGCAAATATGTTTTTGGTTGTTGGTTGGTCATTAGGAAAATATGATATATTTTCAAAAAAAAATTTTTTTTTCTTTTTTTTGTTTTTGAAATAAATTTGTTATTTTTCAGAAAAATATTGTTTTGTTGAATTAAAAAATTTTTTTTTTATATTTTTTCAGGTTTTTCAGCTTAAAATTTTAACAATAACAACAATTCAAATAAAATGATTCGTTTAACAGAATTATTTTTATTTATTGGACTTTTGACACATATATTACTTACATTATTTACAAAAGTTGAAGAAAGTTTTAATACTCAAGCAATTCATGACTTTATTTATCATCGTAATAATTGGACTAAAGTTTGTGATTTTTTAAAATTTTTTTAAATTAAATTTTTTTTTAAATTTAAGTATGACCATAGAGAATTTCCTGGAGTTGTTGCTCGGTATATTTTTTTTATTTTTTTTCTAGTGGGTTATAAGAGGAGATTTCTCCACTTGAACCTCATTGTCAGATACCCTTTATATTAGGCTTACCTTAATTAGAAAATTTTTACTTTTTGTCTGGTCACTAGTAAAGGGAAGGTCCTGGGATGAACTGAAACAGAGGATTGAAGTGAAGAAATGAAAGTAAGGCCTGAACGGAAGGACTGAAGAGAAAGGAGGGGAAAATGGATGGAAGAAAAAAAGACGGAAGAACAGGAAAAATATAACATTGAAAAGGGTCTTCACTATAAGATAACCCTCATACTTTAAGATTTTTAAGCCCCACGAGGGATATTCTAACAGGTTTTTTATACATATTTATATATTTTTTTTAATTTTAGTACATTTGTTGGACCATTAGCTATTGCTACTTTAATTTCTCCTTTTGTACCGATAATTAAATATTTTGGATTAAATAAAATTTGGATGTTATTTGCAGGTTTTTTTTCTTATTTTTTGAATTTTTTTTATTAAAATTCTTATATTTTTTCAGCCCGTACAGCTTTAGGAATGGCTGTATTGACTTCTTTTTGTTGTTTCTGCCGTTGTGTTGAAACACGCTTTGGAAAGCGTGTGGCTCTTTACTTGCGACTTTTTACTCTTTCACAATTCCATTTTTTGTTTTATGCATCTAGACCACTTCCAAATATTTTTGCATTGTTTTTTGGTATATTTTAAAATTTATTTTTGGGTTTTTTTTCTTTTTGAATTCATGTTAGGAAAAGGGCGGGGTATGGGCTTTCTTTTGCATTCCGTTTTTAAGATGTGGGAGTGCCCATTTGTGATGTAAACATTGTTTTGAGTTAGTTGGGTTGGTTTCTAGTCGTGTTTTCAAAATTATTAATCGGATGGGGTCGAACCTTGTCATGATCAGAGACCTATTTCTAGTATATTATTTTTAAAATTTTATTCCATTTTTAAAGTTTTAATTGTCTATCAAAAATGGATTGAAAACAGAATTATTCCGTTCACTTTCTGGTCAACAATAGCAATATTTTTGTTCCGTTTTGAATTAATTTTATTATTTGGTCCAATGTTTGGTTATTTTATTGTTACAAAATTTAAAAGGATTTTGACTGTTGGATATGTTGGATTTGTTACACTTTTCTTTGTTTTGTGTAAGAATTTTAAGAAATTTTCAGAAAATTTTTTTAACGTTGAAGGTACTTCTGTCCCTTTTGACTCATTTATGTGGGGAAGACCAGTTTGGCCTGAATTGGAAGTTATGGAATTTAATATCGTTAAAAATAAAAGCCATGAATATGGGGTATTTTTTTAATTTTTTATTTTTTTAAATTTTAAAGTTGGGGAAGGGGGTGGGGTTGGATGGTTTTTTTAGTTCGCAAGTTTTTCCGAAGGTTGTAGTATTTTCTTGATATTTAATTTAAAAAATTTTTTTGGATTTTTTGAGGGCATTAAGGACGTTCAACGATTTCCTACGTGTCCAAATAACCCTGCAAAAAATTTAATTAGATAGTTAATAAAAAAATTTTTCAGTCTTAAACCTATTTAAGTGTCCAAAATAATCCCAAAAAATTTTTTTAAATTTGCGAATAATTTGTAAATAAAATTTTTTGCTGTCTTTTGGGAAGCATAACTTTCTAAATAGAACTCCAAAAAAGGTTTTTTTTAATTATTTAATTTAATATTATTTTTTTAAATTTAATTATTTAAAGGTAATGCCATTTTGGTGGTATTTTACTTCAGCAATTCCTCGTGCTTTACTTTTAACAACTTTATTAGTTCCTCTATCTATTTTTGCTTGTCAAAAAAATCAACGTTTAATAATTCAAACAATAATTCCGGCATGTATATTTTTGTTTTTATTTTCTTTTTTGCCACATAAAGAATTGAGATTTGTTATTTATGTTATTCCTTTAATGAATTTATCTGCTGCTTTCTTTTGTGATTATGTGTAAGTTTGGAATTATTTTTTTTTGGGGAAGGAGGGGGGCCTTTAACCAGGACTTCTTTTTTTGGTTATAGGAGACTTCTTTGGTTGTTTGATTTTTTTAACAAAGGGATATATGGAGGGATTTTATTGTCTTTCATTCTTTTTTAAGGTTTTTGAGATTTTTTATTCATATTCATAAGTGTCCAAAATGGCACTAACGATTTTTAAGAATCTCGAAAAATAAGGTTCCATTGGGAAATAATCTCTCTTTTGATTATGTGTAAGTTTGGAACTCTTCTGGGCTAAATATTGGACAGAAATCCAGAGCTATGATTTTTCCTGGACTCTGGCCTGGATTTAGTCCCATGACTAAGTTTGGGACAGAAAAATATTTTTTTTTCAAATTTCTTTTTAATTAAAAAAATTTTTTTTCATCTAGATGGAGACGTACCAGTACTTTTTATTCAATAATTTCGCCATTTATAATTTTTCATATATTCATAAATTGTTTATTGACTAGCCAATTTGTGAATGTTAGCGTTAAAAATTATCCTGGTGCTGATGCTCTTGTAAATCTTCAGGTTTTTTTTTGGAATTTTTTAGGAAAAAATTTTGAAAATTTAAGTCAATAAATAAAGAAATGGGTACAGAACACGTATCTGTTCACATTGACAATTATTGTGCTGAAACTGGAATTAGCAGATTTGTACAATTATATGATGCGTGGGAGTAAGTTGGAAAATTTTTTTTGAAAAAATTTTTGGAAATTTTTAGAAAATTTTTGAAAAATTTTTTTTTAATTTTCTGAATTTTTCAAAAAAGAATTTTTTGAAAAATTTTGAATTTTTTTAAAAAAATTTTCTGAATTTTGTCTGAAAAATTTTTTTGATTTCTTCGAAAATTTTCAAGAAATTTTTTGAAATTTTCAATTTTTTTTCAAAATTTTAAATTTTAGATATAACAAAACAGAAAATCTGTCACCTAAAGAATTACAACGTTTTGACTTTCTCATGTTTGGAATTGACAACAAAAATGCATTTTTAAACGACTCGAAGAACTACAACATGACTATTAAACATGAAGAATATTTAATTATTGATGGGTTTGATAAGGTTTGTTTGTATTTTATTTTTTGTATTTTCTTTTCTGGAAAGATTTTATTTAATTTTTCTCTTTAGAAATTCTGATTTTTTGTATTTTCCGGAAATTATCTGTAAAATAATTTTTTGGTGTAGTGAGATAATTTTTAGTTTTCCCCTTATAGGGGTCATGGGTTCGAACCCCACTTGGGGGAAATATTTTTTAATTTCCTAACAAAATTTTTTCGTGGATTCTCCTTTGTATATTCTTTCAAAAAATTATTTTTTTATAATTAATTTCCTATATTTATTTAGATTTCGTGGCAAGAATTTCCTTTTCCTCCATGGTGGCCTAAAATCTTTTCAAGTGTGCCTTATCCAACGTTTAATCCAAAAGTTGTTGTCTTGAGACGGATTCAAACTTAAATAAGTAAAAGAAATTGCAAGGGTATTAAATAAATTTATTTTTAATTTTTAAGTTTTATTTATGACCAAATATAAAAATTTAGTGACTTATAGTATTTATATATTTTTAAATTAGAGATCGAGCTGTGGGTTTAGACAATAACTTGAGATTTTACCCAGAATCAAACATTAAAAAAATTTTCTAAGGTGGTTTTTCCTAAATTAGAGGATTAGGATCTGGTGGAAAAGGATTTCTTTCAATGAAAAAATTTTTTTAAAGAAATCTCGATCTCTAAAAAAAATTTTTTACATTCCAAAAAAAATACTATACATGTATATTTTTAAAATTTTTTTTACTAATTTAAATATAAATTTCTAAATAAATAAAAATTTAACAACAAAAATAAAGTCAAAAAAATGTCACAATAAAATCAAAAAAATACCCAAAATTAATTTACCAAATTGCTTCAGTTGATTTGTAAAATTCTGATTTATTTGAATGTTTTGTTCTACTAATATCCCCAACTTCATCAATATTTTTTAACAATTTATCAAGCATTTCTTTTGTATGTGCAGCAGAAATACAAATACGAACACGGCTTTGGGTCATTTCTGTTGCTGGAAATGATACAACAACCTGAAAGGGGTTGGTTATTATTTAGAGAAATTAAAAGGAAAATAGTTAGGGAGATAAACGCTTTCCGGAAAATAATCAGAATTTTTAAATTCCGGAAAGAGGAAAAATACATTTTTATTAAATTATTTGTGTTTTCCGGAATTCAGAATAAAATCAGAATTTTTAAAAATACAACCTTTCCGGAAAAATACATATTAAAAATAAATTCTGATTTGTTTTCCGGAAAGAAAGGGGAAAAATACATTTTTATTAAATTATTTGTATTTTCCGGAATTTAATAAATCAGAATAAAATAAAAACTTCCGGAAAAGAAAAATACATATAAAAATAAATTCTGATTTTTATTTAAATGTATTTTTCCGGAAATTTATTCTTTAAAATAAATATCAGAATTTTCAAATCAGAATTTTCAAATCAGAATTTATTTAATTAACACTTACCACACCAATTTTACGTTCCAACATTAAACGTCCCCAAAGGCTTTAATAAAAAAATTAAAATTAATTTAAAAAATTTTTTTTAATTAATTTACCCGCATTTTGTTGGATGATAAATCATAATAGGAATAACAGGAGAATGATTAGAACCATAAACAATAAATCCCAATTGTTTTAATTTTAGACGAACATAATTGGTGTTTCTAGCCAATTGTTCAATTCTTTTTTGTCCTTCACCAGTCCCGTCTTTACCCATAATTGAAGACATTGCTGTAAATATTTGTTTGGCAATTGGTGGTGACATTGGTATTGTGTAGAATTCACCAGGAGAATTTTGGCGAATGTGGGAAATTAAAGCCTAAGAAAAAAATATTTTTGGTGTAGTGGGATAATTTTTAGTTTTCCCTATATAAGGGTTGTGGGTTCGAACCCCGCTTGGGGGAAATATTTTTTATTTTCTTAAAAATAATTTTTCGAACCTTACTACCCGCAATATAACCACCAGCAGCTCCAAAACTTTTTGTAAATGTCCCCATAAAAATATCAACGTCTTTAGAATCACAATTATAATATTCAACAATTCCGCGTCCTGTTTTTCCCATTGCACCTTTAAAAAATTTTTGGAAGGTTTTCCATCCAAAAATATTTTTAAAGAAAATAAAAAATATTTCCTCGAGTGTGGTTCGAACCCATGTCCCCTATACTTAAAAAATGTTTTTTTGGTGTAGTGGGATAATTTTTAATTTTGCCTGTTTAGGGGTCGTGGGTTCGAACCCTCTTGGGGGAAATATTTTTTATTTTCTTTAAAAATATTTTAAAAAGAAAACCTATGCTGTGTGCCTCATCCAAATATAAATAAAATTTATATTTTTTCTTTAATTTAATAATTTCATCCAATTTACAAATTGTTCCTTCCATTGAATATATTCCTTCAATAATAACCATTATTTTAGAGAAAGGTTTTCCTTCCTTTTTAGTATTTCCAAAAATAATTGATTGTCTCAATACTTTTTCCAAATCTTGAATATTATTATGCTTAAATATTTTTATTGTAGCTCCAGATATTCTTGAACCAAGAATTAAAGAAGCATGGTTATATTGGTCAGAAATTATTAAGGAATCCTGTCAAAATGAATTATTTGAAAAAATTATTTTAGAAATATTTGCGGATTTTGTGAATTTCTCGGGAAGGGATTTTGGGAAAAATTTGGGACCTTCTTTGGGAAAAATTTTTTTAAACATAGGCTAGAGTCGATAAATTGAGAATGATTTTCTCTTTAAAAAATGCCGGAAAAATTGCGGACAAAATTTTGGAAAGGTTTGGAAGGTTTCGGAAAGGTTTGGAATTTTTTTGAATTAAATTTTTAAAAATACCTTATCCATTAAACAGGTCAAATTCATCGAATTTGTAGCAAATCCCATTCCAAAACATATGGCAGATTCAACTCCAATAAATTCAGCAACCAAATTCTCTAATTCAGTTTGAGCTAAAGGTTGACCTTTAAAAGAATTTTTTAAAAAATTAATTTTAAAATTTTAAAAAACCTAATTCACGAATGCTGGCACATGAAGAAATCCCTTGGTCATTAATTATGTTGGCTGAAGCTGTGGCACAAGGTCCTTTATTTTCGGCAAATCCAAGGTAATTATAAGAGGCAGTGTTGATAACTTCTGTTTGTGTCCCAGGAAATCTTTGAAAAAAAGGTTAAAAAATTTTTTAGATTTTTTAGAAGGCCCCTTTTGATCTTTCGACTCAAAAAATATTTTCTAAAGAAAATAAAAAATGTTTCCCTCAAGAGGGTTCGAACCCACGACCCCTATACAGGCAAAATTAAAAATTTTCCCACTACACCAAAAAATATTTTTTAATTAAAAATACCTAAAATTCCAACAATAATCATCAGTTTCTCGATCGAGTAGTTTACTTTAAAAAAGAATTTTTTTAATTTAAAGAAAATTTAAAAATAATACAAACACTGTGCCTCCAGGAACTCCACATATTGGCCTTTCAAAAACATCTCTAACCCTCATATAACAATTTCTTGCATAAATAGCTTCAAAAGAATTGAAAAGTGGAGCAAAATCCTTTGAAAAAATTTTTTTATTTTAAAAAATTTTTGTGGCATTTTGTCGTTATTTGGTTTATGGGCATTTCGTCCGGTGACATTTTGTCCAATGGGCATTTTGTCCGATGGGCATTTTGTCCAAATTTTTCTAAAAATAAAATTCCTAAATTACCCTCATTTCCAGCCTTTCACAAGCAGATTTGTTCTTCTCAAATCCATAATACCGAAGAAATTCTCGAATGTAGGCAAAAACGGTCAATACAAACCAAGTAAAATAAACAGAAAATGAAACAAAAAAATTGCATTTTTCAAATTCTTCGAATTTGTCTTTAAATTGTTGTTTTTCTTCTTTATTATTTTGGGGTTCTTGTTTCACTCTTTCCTTTAAAAAATAAAAAAAATTAATTTTTTTAATTTTTAGGTGAATTGTCTATTTCTCCATATGTCCATTGATTTGTATACTCGAAAACCCTTTTCCGTTGAGACTCTACTGGCCGTTTTTCTTAAAAACTCACAATTTTATTTGTATCATTGCGTAGTTTGGTTTGTGAATTAATTAAATTATTTCTATTTGAAATATACTCGTCATTAACATTATACCCAAAATTGTAGGCAGAAAGTGAGGAATTTTTTGAGTCATCATTGGAAGTTGGTGAAATTTTGTAAAGAAAAAAATTTTTTGCGCAGGCTTCGAAATCAAAAATAACGTCGTTAAACATTCTGGAATTTAAAAAAAAATTTTGAAAATCTGAAAAGAAATTTTGAAAATTAAAAAATTATTACAGAGAAGTTAGAGACAGCAGAGAAATAGTGTGTAAAATTGAGAGAGTATTTTAAATAATTTTTAAATTAAAAACAAGCCTGTAAATTAAATTAAAAATTTTCTTGAATGATGATTTTCTAAATAAAATGAAGAGGAGGATGGTGTGATTCGTCAGAAATTTTGAAAAAAATACTCTTTGGACTAAAGAAAGAACACTTCTTGAAGAAAACTACACTAATTACATTTTGTGTGATTTATAGCAAAAATGATGAAATTTAATGATAAGGATAGACCAATATAAAGACCAATTAAAAATAAAAATAGATAAAAGAACACAAATTAGGAGTTTTTTTGAAAAAATTTTTTGAAGAAAATAATCAACAACTCTTGACCAACAACAACAACTAACAAGAAAATGTAAACAACAACAAGGCTGAGACTCTAATGTACCTCATAAATAAACAAAATAAGAGGACAAAAGGTCGACAACCAAAATGCCAACAGACAAAATGCCAGCGAGAGAAAATGGTCAAATTTTACAAAAGGGTCAAAATACAAAAGGGTCAATTTTTATCAAGGAAGCTCTCAAAGATTATTTTTATCAACAAGAGAAGAAAAATTAATTTTTGGCATTTAATCAAAAAATCTCTCTTCTTTAAAAAATTATGAGACATTAATAAAATGATTGATTGACCTTGAAAACTACTGGAAAAAATAATATTTATTAAAAAAATAATTTTGCGACAATTTGACATGTTTTTTTACGTTTCTGCAAAAATCTTGTTTTGTGATTAGGAAAATGTATGTTTAGGTAAAAAAGGGAAAGGAAAGAGAGGAAGAGGGAGAATCTTTCTCCTTTTTTTGTTGTTTGCTGACTAATAGGGGGGGGGAGGGGAGAAGGAAAGGGAGGGAAGGGAAAGTGATGATGAGATGAGGCGGCGAGTATAAATTTAAAAAATAAACACAAAATCAAAATCAAGTTTTATCTGTTAATTAACAGATTGGGGTTAAAAATCAATCTTGAAAAAAAATCAAATCTTCTGGTTGTTTTTAATTTTTAAATACTCTCTAAATTTTACACACTATTTCTCTTCTGTCTCTGACTTCTCTGTAATAATTTTAAATTCTCTCATTTTTACACACTATTTCTCTTCTGTCTCTGACTTCTCTGTAATAATTGTTTTTATTTTTTTTTCGGACTCTACTGACCCCAAATAAATAATATTTGTTCTAGTGGGTGTCGTTAGAGTTCTTACTTTCTCTCTTTCTCTATAAATTACCAATTTTTTTTATCCTTTCTTGCCGACGCAATACAAGTTTTTTTTATTTTAATTTTTTTCCTTTCCGGTTGAGAATAAATAAATAATAAAGAGAGAGATGATTGAGAATCCCTTTCAGTCTTCTTTTTCTTTTTACAATTTTTGTAAAAATTGTAAAATAAATTCTTTTTGCCCTTCGACAAAATGTCAAATTTTGTACTTCTGGACGTTTTGAATTTTCTTAGATTTTGGGATTTTGAATTTTACCAATTTTTTTAATTTTCGACATTTTGACATCCTCCGCGGAAGTATTCTTCTTAAAAATTTGTTAATCTTTATTTTTATTTCCCGCAGGGTTTTTGTCTTTTTTTTTTTGTTAAAATAAACTTTGAGGCGTTGATTCATGCATTAAAAAGTTTTAATTTAAAGACTAGTTAGTTGATCAATTTTGTTTTTCTTTCTTTTTTGATAGAAAACAATTTAAAAAGGCCTTTTAAATTGTTTGGTCTAAAGAAAACTTTAATTTTTGTGGGTGTTGTTTTTGTTTCCCTTTCAAATTTAGTTTAGTTTGAGTTTTATTTTTATTGTTGTCAGTTTCTTTTCATTTTTAATTTGAAAAAAAAAAGAAAAAAAAGTTTTATTTAAGTAAAGAAGATGTTTTGCGCATCATTTAATTTTTAGAGGAGGGATAGAGATTGTTTAAATTAAAGGGGAAAAAAATTTTTTTTTCTTGAAAATTTTTTGTGCCTGCCATTTTATTTGAATGTCTAATAGGGTAGGACGAGACCGTTTAATAACCTCGATTATTATTCCCTGTGGGGCAGGTCAAAAAGAAAAGAGAGAAGGAAAAAGTCCGCCACAGGGAAAAATAAACCTCGAATCAAACGGTCTCGTCCTACCCTAATGTCTAACAAAAAAAATTTTTTTAGCAGGAAAAATGATTTAGAAAGAAAATTTCAATATTAATATAATGATTTCTGCCACAAATTTAATCTTTCAATTAATCCTTTTTTGTTGTCTTTCTCTATTTTTAATTTGTGATGATTTATTTTTGAAGGATTTGGAAGAATTCAATTTTTGTCAAAATCTGCCACATTCAAATTATTTGTCTACCGAGGATTTGAGGTTTTTTGAGTTTTTATTTTAATTTTTTTGAGTGATCTCGGTGAGAAACCATACGTTTTTTTATTCGCGGGAATTTCCTGCTGAAGTCAGTCAGAGGTCCCCCACTGTTCTTAAATTTTGGATTATTTTCCCTTTTAGGCGCCAATCACACCTTTATGAGTCCATTATTTTTGTGAATTTCCTGTTGAAGTCAGTCAGTCGTGGTCATTTACAGATCAGTCAATAGCTGTTGAACCAGTCTGTCAATCGTTTCCTGGTTCAATATTTTTAGGCTCTTGTTCAATTTAGAAGTCCAATAGAAATTTTTTAGACGTCCAATACCTTCTCTGACAAATTAAGGAAGAAAGACTTTGACTGGCTGAGTGACCTCAAATGGAAATTTAAGTGACTAAAGATGCGTGAATAAATCCCTTCATGAGTTCTCGAGCGTCATTTAATATTTTTAAAAAATTCTTAATTTTAAGAAATGCTTGTAATAGACGAAACCAATGGCTTAGAGACAAAAACAACGAGGAAATTAGCAACAATAAATTATCAAAACACCCAACAGCTTCTCAAAAAGCGTATTTTGAATGGTTAGAATCTACTAGAAAAAATTTGAAAAAGAAAATTAATTTGCCTGAATTTGAAACTGAAAATTTTGTTAAGGTTTGCGAGATTTTTGAGGGTTTTATAGTTGCGGCCCATTTCCCTTGGTTTTTTTAAAAGTGTTTAACTTTTATTTACGGCCCAAAATCCGAAGAGGAGACCAGCAAAAGCTTCCTGTTGTCTAGAGATTCGAACTGCGTTTCAGCCAAAGTTTGGGGGATTTTCTGGACTCGAGCTAACGAAAAGAAAATTAAAATCCTGGACTTTGGCCAAGTAAGAATTAGTCTTATTGTTAAACATTGGCCAAGATGTAGCTCGATCTCTAGACGACAGGAAGTCTTTACTGGACAAATGAACTTAAAACCCCTCTGAATTGTTTAAAAATTCGATTAAATTTTTAGAGGTCAAAAAGACGAGATCAATTACTGCCAGCATTTTCACTTAAGGAAGAAGAAGAATCTGAAAGATATTTGAGGGAAGACCAGAGAAAATACAGAAGAGGAAAAAAATTTATAAGAAAAGAGTATAGAATGGTTGGTATATTTTTTTAATTTTGTGGAACTTTTAGGGACCTTCTGGGGCCGTTAAAATTATTTTTTATAAGGGATGGGGGTATTTTAGATGGAGGGTTATCTCTTAGAAACTCTCCGCCAGTGCTGGATATGGCTCCAAAAGCTAGCCGACAAATGCCCAATACCCAGCACTGCTCTCAGCCCTTGTAAGTAGTCAGTAGAGATGGTCCGAGTTTTCAGAATCTTTTATGGTGGGGTTTCGGGTCAAAACTGTCCTGGTTTGGGGTCTATATGGTTACTCGACCCTTCCATCTAGATGTCAGCTAAACTTTAAAAACCAAATTTATGGTGGAGGGGGTATTTATGGGGAGGGGTATTTCAAATATGACTACCGACTTTATACTTTAAAATACTAAAAAAATTTTTTTAAAGATGACAGATTTGGAACGTAAACAACTCCAATTAGCTCTAAATGGATTAAAATCAAAACATATAGATAATGTTTCAATATGGGATTTACACACACTTGTACATTATCCAAATTCTGCTGTAGCTGCGCATTGGGGTTTCTTTTTAATTTTTTTTTTATTTTAAAAATTTTTTTCGCAGGTCCAGCATTTTTGCCTTGGCATAGAGAATTTTTAAGACAATTTGAAATTACTCTACAAAATGAACAGCCAGGTTTATTTAAATTTTAAAAATTTTTTAAAAATTTTTCTTTAGAATTAATTGGAATACCTTTTTGGGACTCTACTTTAGATCATGGTAAGCTTTTAAAAAATTTTTCAGCATAATTTACCTATTTTATTTTTCCTGTGTTTTTTGAGTAACGTCAATTTTAACTAGGGTTGGACCCCAATATTGAACTCCGACACGAATCTGAACCCCCGACCTCAACATTCTTCAACCTCATAATGTCGGGGGTCCAAGATTATTTTTTAATTTATTTTTCCTGTATTTTTTTGAGGAACTTTAATTTTAACTGGGGTTGGATTTCAAGACTGAACCCGGCCCTCAACATTCCCAACCCTATTTTTTAACTTATTTTTCCGGAAAAATAAATATTTAAAATTTTTAATTTTTTTAACCAAAAATTATTTTTTCTAGGACTTCCTGATCCTTCTGACAGCGTTCTTTGGTCTGAAGAATTAATGGGTAATGGAAATGGTTTTGTGAAAAATGGGCCTTTTAAGGATTGGAATACTAATGTATTTTTTTTAAATTTTATTTTAAATTTATTTTTAATTTAAAATAAGGTATTGATGCCTCTAAGTCCAGTACCTATCCAAAGATTATATAGGTCTACTGGTGGAAGAAGTTCTGACAGGTTTTTAATTTTTTAAAGAATTTTTTAAGAATTTTCTTAATTAAATATTTTTAATTAAAAGGATCAGGAGGTCTCAAAAAAATTTTTTTTAATTCCTAGAAAATATTTTTTGGTTAAAAAAAATTTTTTTTTGGGTATTTCCTAATCCTTTTAATTAAAAAATTTTGAAAAATTTTTTATTCAAATATTTTTTAAATTTTTTTTATTAAAAGATTAATGTCTCCAAAAGATGTTGAATGGATTACAACTCGAAAAAATTTTAGTCAATTAACTTTTTGTCATGACAAAACATTTGAATCTATGCATGGACTGTGTAACGGAATTTTTTAAAAAATTTAGAAAAATTTTAGAATTTTTTTTAATTTTTTTTTAAGCTCATGTTTGGGTTGGCGGCTTTATGTTTGTTATTCGAGTATCCCCAAATGACCCAACCTTTTATTTTCATCACGCTTTTATTGATTATTTATGGGAACAATTTAGACTACAAAATCAGGATAGATATCAGAGAGAAAATGATTATGCAATTGTAAGAGGTTTTTTAAATAAATATTCTGATTTTTGAGGAAAATAGGAAAATAAAAAGTAATACTCTAATAGACAATATTTCCGGAAAATATATACAAAAGAAATATTCTGATTTTTAATAAAAGCTTGACCGGAAAATACAAATATTATTCTGATTTAATTAGAATTTTAAATTCTGATTTTCCGGAAAATACAAAATAAAAGAAAACACACAAATATTCTATTTTTTTAATTATTTGTGTTTTCCGGAAAATATTCTGGTTAAAAAAGAAATTCTGATTTTTAATGAAAACTTAATCGGAAAATACAAAAATATTCTGATTTAATTAAAATTTAAAATTCTGATTTTTCTAGTTTAAATTCTGATTTTTCCGGAAAACACAAAAATAAAAGAAAACACACAAATATTCTGGTTATTTATTTGTATTTTCCGGAAAATTAATTTAATATTTATTTGTTTTTGTTTCTGAAATATTCTGGTTTTTAAAAAAGAAATTCTGATTTTTATTATTTGTGTTTTCCGGAAAACTAATTAATATTTATTTGTTTTTCCGGAACCTTTTCTGGAATAAATAAATATTTAACAGTTCTGGTTTTTAAATTTGTGTTTTCCGGAAATGTAGAATATTAGAGTATTAGTATTTTTGTATTTTTAAATTTATTTTTCTTTTATTTTTTATGTGAATAGAAAAACTGTAATAGAAATCATGAATTTAATGCACAAATGAAGGTTATTTTTTTTATTAATTTTATAAATTTATTTTTTATTATTTTTTAGCCTTTTAATTTGCGTAATAAAGATGGACTTTCTAATGATTATACAGGTTTTTTTTTTCGAATTTTAAATTTTTTAAAAATTTTTTAAAAAAGATTTTTGGTTTGAATATGAACCTGTCCGTCATTGTTCAAAAGAATTGCCTTTTTGTGATTCTAAATTTCTTTTTTGTGATAAATCTTCATGGCGTTGTCGAAGCAAAATAGTTTTGGGTGGAAATTGTACAGGATTTGTGGGAACAGAAATATGTTATCAATCAATTTGTATACAGGTTTGGAGGAATTTTTTTAATTTAAAAATTTAAAATAAATTTTGGGTAATATTCCGTCATATTTCTCATACTTCATTTCGGATAAATAAATGTCAAATGGCACCAAAAACAAGCTTTGACTCACTAGGAACTATATGCTACTGTCACCTCGAATTTGATTTTTTTGGTACCATTCGATAGAGGATCCCCGACTTTTTAATGGACAGTCGTAGAGATACCCGATTTCTAAACATTATGAGGCCATAACTCGGCCGGAGCTTAATTTAAAATAAACCGGAGCTGAATTTTGGTGTCATTTTGACACAGCTTACCGAGCTTATAGGAGTATAGGATAAGAATCGGATTATAGGACACATGACAGAATTTTTCCGAAAATTATTTTTTTTTTACTTAAAAAATTTTTTTGAAGAATGTTTGTCGATTACCTGCAACTGAAGGAAATGGATTTTTAAGAAGAGAGGTTTTTTAAATTTATAAAAATTTTTTTTTAATTATTTTTTAAAGCGTCGTTATGATAATGTTGTTTGGGCAAAAACTTTAATGTTAACTGAAGGAAGTTTTGGTTTGTCTAGTGGAATTGCACATGTAACTGTAAAAGAAGAATTTATTGGTGGAAAGGAAATGACAGCATTTATTGAAAGAGAGCCTACAGTTTATCCAGAAACGAGGGTTTTCTTTTAAAATTTTGGGGAAAAATTTTTGAAAATTTCTGAAAATTTTTCTGAGAATTTTTTGTATTTTTGAAATTTTTTTGAAATTTTTTTCCATTTTTAGGGCCTTTTATATTTGCCTCTGCCTAATCCGAGGTACTTTGAAGAATTCTAATCTAATTTTATTTTTTTAAAGCGAACCAAATGTCGATTTTAAAGTGAGTTTGGAAGCAAGTGATCATTATGGAAGATATTGCCAAACTTATTGTTTGAACTCAACAACAGATAAATATCAAGTTTGTTGTTTATTTTTTAAATTTTTTTGCATTATTAAAAGGTTGCTTGGGACTTTTTTCTGGACCCATTCCATGGAATTCTTGACCCATTTTAATTTTTAAACCTAATTAATCCATCTTGTTTTTTTAATATTAACAGGTTTGTACTCCACAATTAGTGCTTCGTTCAACGCTAAACTCTCATTTGTTGACTTCAAATATTTCATTTACTCATCAATTATCTGCTCGTAAATTTCTTGACATGGTTCTATTTTTTGAATAAATTTATTTTAAAAATTTTTTTGAAGGATTTGTCAGTTCATCCAAAACTTTGGAAGGTTCACAGCCCTTTTGTTGTATTTAATTGTCAAACAAAGGTTTTTATTTTTTTAATTTTTTAAATTAAATTTGGGGGTTAAATCCCACTCACTGATTGTGAGATTGGAAAAATGAAAAATATATGGGATTCTGGCTTTTTGACTCCATCTGAAATTCTTGCCAAGATCTTTCAATTTCCTCATAAATATTAAAAGAAATTTTTCATAGCTCCCTACGTCCTTCCATATTTTTTTCTGAGTCCCTTGATATTCTCTCTCTCTCTACTAGGGTTGTCGGTTTCGTCAAATTCCTTGATTAACTGAACCGAAGATCTGTTCGAAAGCAACCACCTTTCTTTTTTAAAGCTTCTAAATTCTGCTATGGTCAAAGAAATAACAGAAAGGCTATCACCACCAATTGAACATTTAATTGCAACACCACATGTTTGGTTTAGAGTTGGTTTAATAATTAAAAGTGGTTCTTCTTCACAATTAATTGATTATGATGAATTTGAGGTTTTTCTTATAATTTTTTGGGTCTGAAAAATTTTTTAAGGTTGAAGCAGAAGAAATTGGTGGAGGTCATTTTGAATTTTATTCAACTTCTCTTCGCCGTGCTCGCTCAGTTTTTGATCAAGGCATTTTATTTTTGAGAGCAAGCAATCCTTTTTTACAAAAAGGAAGAGAAGTAACTGTAAAAGTTGGTATACGTAAAGGTGGAGGAGGGCAACGTATTCAATGTGATGCTTTATGTGATAGATCTCAGGTTTTTTTGCTTAAGTTATTGGTTAGACCTCTTTTTTAAATGTCCTTAAAATTGAGTATACCTCTTTTTAAACTAGGTTTTTAAAAAAATTTAGTAGGCCAGTTGGTGTAGGGGAGAGCTGTCTCTGATAGGTTGTTGGGTTCATGGAAATTCTTCGGATATCCGAAACCGAACCGAAAAATCCTCGGTTCTTCGGTTCGGTCCAGAACCGACAACCCTAGTCTCTGAGCCCTTCCCTTATTTAAGATTTATTTCATTATGAGATAATCAAAATTAAATATTGGTTGGTCACCGGGCGGGGGAGACAGCTAGTCGATTCCTATTCCATTTAAGATACATCTCATGGAGGGGAATTTTTTTCTTAGGCTTCCCATCTTTATGAGGGTGTGTATCTAAAAATACGAAATTTTGGTTATAATTTTTTTCTTTGTTAAGGTCAACTTTTTAACATCAAAAAGAACAACAAATTATTGTGATTCAACTGTTCGTTTAAATGCTGAACCTCAACTTTCTGAAGATGTATTTGCAACAGATTTGAGTTATATGCCTTATTTGGGTTGGAGAATGATAGGTTTTCTGTTAAAAATTTTATTTTTTAATTAAAAATTATTCACAGGTCATCCATCAGAATGGAGATTTCAAATGCCTTTTTTATCATTGTCGTGTTGAAAATAGTATTTTTTGTGTAAATATTGATATTTTTTTTAATTAATTAGATTTTTAATTTTATAAATTTTTTCATATTTTTTAATGTTCTTTAATCGTTTTATATCAGTCGAAATCTCTGAGATTGAAACTACCTATTTTTTAAAATTTTAACGAAATAGTATGTGAAAAGAGGAGAGACAGTTAGAGAAAAAAAGGAGACATGAGAGCGATAGTGAAAATCTTTTTTGTTATTCTGTTAGTCTTTATATTTTGCCAAAATACATGAGATTTTACTCTTTTATTGTAAAGAATTGGTTTGGGAAATACGGGCGACTTGTCAGCTGTCTTTGTTACCTCGATTTCCTTCTTTAATTCTTTGTTAAATTTGAATTTATTTTTATTTGGCATTCTATTTTTATTTTTTTGGCGTTCTGTTTAGTTCTTTAATTTAATTCAAAAATATTTGGCGTCTATTTTTTTGTTCTTCCCCTTATTTTTTGTTTTAATTTTATCAATTTTACCTCATTTTCATCAATTTTTTCCTATAATTTTATAATTTTCTTTACTTTTTCTAGACAAATTTGCGAGTTTTCTCAAAATAAATTCAAAGAAATGTCAGCAAGTACAACAAAAACTACTGAAGACAATTTCCGTTATGTTCAAAAGTAAGGAGATTTCTTTTTGTTTAATTTAACCTTTTAAATTTTAAGAGCAGCAAAATCTATTGATGATATTGAAAAACGCTTTGTTTTTGTTTACAGGTTTATATTTTGTTGTTCTTAATTAGCATCTGATTTTTTTTTGTTATTTTTAGACAAATCTTAACTTTTGAGGAATGTATGGAAGAAGGGCCAAAAAAGAACCAAACAGTAAAAATGCTTGTTACTTGGGCTTTAAATGAATTTGGTGGTGGTTACAAATCTGATAAAAGAATGCTTGATTTGTGGAAATTGATGGTTATTTTTGGGTTTTAATTTTTGGGGTTGTAAGGAAGGGCTGTTTTTTGGGATGCAAAACGTTTTAGGCAGTAGTTTAAGACGGGTGGGGGTTTAGGATCTATTGAATAAGAGAAGGTGATACCCAGTGGGTCATGACGCTGTGCCCCATTAAGTCATTCTGTCGAGCATCTTTGCGTGGTGACCTAAGGCTCCTACCCATAACGTCCAATGGTTGCTGGATCGATGCCTAACCACGTTTTATGTTTTACCTTTCCTTTTGTTATTGTTTAGAAATGATATAGTTGTGAGGCTTTGCTAAAAATTGATTTAAAAACTTTTTTAGTCAAACATTTTTAAGGGCAAATATAGCAATACTATTGGAATGGATGGTGTTCTTGAAAATGTTCATCGCCTTGGATTTTTCAAAAATGTTCCTGATTTTTATATTATGTGGGCAGATCATTTGGGTGCTAAAGAAAATAAAGAGCATTTTGATAAGATGATTCAAATTTGTGAGGAAAATTGCAACTTAAGTTCATGCGAAACTCGGGAGCTTTTCAGGTTTTTTTTAAATCATTAGATTATTTGGTACTTGTGAGTTATCCCAAACCAGTTCTTGCTGACATATTTATGTGAACTCATTCATATGAACAGAATGGTCAGACCCATCTTTCTTCCAAACTTGCATCCTACTTCCTCATTCATTTATTCAGTAACTGATTTTCTTCATCGCCCATGAGTCTGTCGAGAGTTCAATGAGACATTGAATATGCCACAGGGAAATGAAATGAAATTGAAGAAGGAAGAAGTCTGTTCGCATAGATATGTCTGAAGGAATTGGTTTGGGATAACTCACAAGTACCGATTATTTATAGCCCTTTTTGTAGTCATCCCTCCCGGTGAGTTTTTGTAGATCGAGCTTTGAGTCTGCATTCTAATTGTAAGGAAGCCTTATTCCTTATCCATTTCGATCTCTATTTTCTTTTTTTGGTTTTAATTTAATTTTTTTTGAAATGTCCGAAAAAGTTAAAAGTTGCCTGGTTTCTGAACCCAAGCATTGGCCCAGATCAAAATTGGTCTTTATTTTCCTCCACTAAATTATCAAAAGATTCTTCTATATTTCAGCCCACTAATTAAAAAATATTTCCCTGATGATTGTTATGAAGAAGAGAACAAAACTATCGATTTTATTAAAATGTTGGCGGATGATTCAGACAATGTTCGACCTGAATTGACACTTTTTCAAAAATTTGATTATGAGAAATCAGTCTCTTCATCTTCTTCCTTATTGCCTCAACAACCTCCTCCATCACCTGTTGTCGAAACATCTGCTCCTGCTGTTGCTGTTAAACCTTTGGACGTTTTGAAAGATATTACGACGATTACTAAAGGTTTTTAAAGTTTTTTTTTGAGGGAAAATTTGCTGAAAATTTTTTTGGTTTTTGGAAATTTTTTATTTTTAATGTTTTTTTACTTAATTTTGTTTAAAATATTTTTTTTAGAAGTTTTGCCACCTCCAGTTCAAGTTAAACAGTTGAAGGTTTTGGATAATATTCCAGTTGTAACGAAAGGTTTATTGTTTAAAAATAAAAATTTTTTCCTATAAAAATATTTTAACAGAACTTTTGCCGCCACCATCTCCTGTTAAACCTTTCAATTTTTTGGAAGATAGTCCTGATGCAACGAAAGGTTTTTATTTAGGAAAAAAAAGTTTTCTTTTTTTACAAAATATTTTTTAACAGAAATTTTGCATCCATCACCACCTCCTACTATTTCGAATACACCTGGTCGTAAATTTTTGGATAAAAATATTGAGATGAGTTATCAAGACAATTTACAGAAGGTTTTAAAATTTTGAAAAAAAATTTTTTGAGTTATCTAAGTGTTTTCCTGTGGGCGTTTTAGCTTCAGAAATTTTCACCAAATACTTCCTAAATTATAGTCGATAAACCTTGAAAAATTAGGCTTTTTTTTTGTAAAATTTTTTGCCAAAATTTCTGAGATTTGACTTAATAATTCTGAAATTTTGGGATTTTATAAGCTCGCGCTACTGTGGTTTAGTCCCTTAAGTAGTTTGGTTTAACAATGAATTTGGGGGGGGGGGGGGTGGAGGGTTATGAAATTTTTATAAAAAATCTTTCCTTTTGCTTATGTTGGAGGAAAAAAAATTTTTACACAGAAAGAAATTTTTAAATTAATTTTTTAGACTGACAAAAAGAGTGAAGATTAATGGATGGGGAAGAATTGTTTTTTTTTGTGAGTTGAAAATTAAATTTGGAGATATTTTAAAAAATATAATTACAATATGACAATGGTATTTTTTATTTTTTTTAAATTAAATTTAAATTTTTTTTGGGTAAAAAATTTTTTTGAAATTGTTTTCTGGTAAAAAACCCCAAGCCTAGTTCCAGATCAGAGTTGTCTTGATTTTCTAGTTTTTTTTTTCGATTTTATTTTTTTTTTAATTTTTGAAAATTTTTTTTTTTGAAAAATTTTTTTTTTAATTTCCCAAATTCAGTTCGAATTTTCTTTTTTTTTTGGGAATTAAAAAATATTTGGGCAGTAGTTTTATTTCCAAAATTTCTTTAAAAATATTTATTTGAACTCTATTCCCCTCTTTTTTTTGGGGAAATTTATTCGTCTTTTTTAAATACTAGTAGGCTTTCAAATAAACACACATACACAGCAGGGGTGTGCCGAAACGGATTTTAAAAAGCGAAACGCGAAAGGCGAAATTAAATTTAAAAAGTGAAACGCGAAATGCGAAACGCGAAAGTAAATTTAAAAAAGCGACACGCGAAATGCGAAAGTCCAAAAAACGCGAAAATCCGCGAAAGGCGAAACGCGAAACTCGCATACCCCTGATACACAGTTATTTATTTTTTTTTGTGTTCTTTTAATATTTTATTTTTTTTTGGGGGTGAAAGAATTCTATTTTTTTTTGATAAGTAAGTCCTTTGGGGGAAATTTTTGAATAAATAAAAAAAAAGAATTGGCTTTGGGAAATTCTTATTTTTTTTGTTTTTTTGAATTTATATATTTGTGCCCAGTATATTTGTGTCTGTTATTATTTTAAGTATTTTTTAAATTTTTTTGAAAAAATATTTTTTTTTTAATTAGAGAAGGAAAGGGGGAAGGGGATGTTGGTGGGGTGAGTTGGTGGTTAGGTGGGATTAATTGTTTTTTAATTAGAAAATTTTTTTGATTTTTTTGAAATTTTTGCCAGAAGAAGGGGACGGGAATATTTATTAATTTTTGAATTTTTTTTTGATTTTTTTTTAAATTTTTATTACAAAGAAGGGGAAGAGGGATTATCTGTCCTTAATTAGATATATTTTTTAAAAATTAAAAAAAAATTTTTTTTTAATTTTTATTTTTTTATTTTTATACATTTTTAACTAGTATATTTTCTCATTTTTCTTTATTTAAAGAAAAATAAATTGTGTGTATACTCTTAATTATTTTTTTTTATTTTTCTTAAAAAAGTATTTACTTGCTAATTTATGTAAATATTTTATTTATTTTTATTTGTGCCATTTTCTTAATCGATCTTGAGAAAATTTTCTAATTAAAAGGAGGGAAGGATATATAGTTGCGCGTAGAAAATTTTTTTTAATTTTTTTTCTATTTTTTCCATTTTTTTTTCTCATTTTGCAGAAATTTTTTTTACTTTTCCTCCAAAAAAAATTTTTTTCTCACCACCACACACATATTTATAGCGTCATTACCTTTCAAAAATTTTTTCGTATTTTTTTTTAATATTTTTAAATTTTTTTTAAATTTTTTTTCAATATTTTCTCATTCTCTAAATTGTCTTTTAAAAATTCACCAAAAAAAAGACAAGGAAATATATACAAATTTATCCATATTTCCCCGTTATTTTGGCTAATTTAAAAAATATTCATTCTCTTTACTATTTTTATAAATTAAGAAAATAAAAGGAGGGGAAAAACCAAAAATAGAATAGTACAAAAAAAATCTTTTTAGGAAAGAAAAAAAATTTTTTTTCCTTTTAATATTTGAATGGGGAATTAAATAGGAAGGATATTTGGCAATTAAAAAATTAGGGAAAAAATTTTTATTATTAAACTGGTCCTCAACAATAAAAAAAATTTTTTTCAACGGAAGACATGTCCATTTAATGGGGAAAAATTTTTATTGAACTACAAGTCCTACCAAAAAAAATAAAATTTATTTTTAACGGAAGATATGCTCATTTAGTGGGGAAATTTTTTTGAACTCCAAGTCCTGACCAAAAATAAAATTTATAAAGGGATACATGAGATCTTCCTTCTCACATATCCTTAGGTTCCGAGGTCCTTTTCTACTATATTTTAAAAAATTTCTAAAAATTAAGAGATTCTTTTTTTCAACATTTTATAAAAAGTAGTAAAATGAATTTAATGAACTAAAAAAAAATTTTTTTTTGTGCCAAAATATTCTTCTTAATTTTGAAGGAAACCTGAGAATGTGTGTGGACATAAAAATAAGGGTGATGAACTCGCTTCTTTTTTTCTGACATATTTTTTACTATTTAGTGGTTATAAAAAAATTTATTTTTTTTTTTCGTTGTTTTTCACACACATTCCTAAAAAAATTATTTTTTAATTTTTTAAATTTTTACTTAAACTCTTTCTTTAAGGGCTAAAACACTTTTTTTCATTTGCTTTTTTCCTCAAAAAATTTTTTTTCTCCTCCAAAAAATTCCCCCTCCCCCTAAAAATTTTTTTTACTTCAAAAATTATTTATTTTTCTTCATTTATCTCTTATTAACACTTTATTTTTTGACTCACACTTTTCAAAATTTTTTTTTTAAATTTTTTTCTTTCTCCTTTAATTTTTTTTATTATTTTTCTCACCCATCAAAAATATGTATATATTTTGTCACACACAAAATATATATTTATAGGTATATCCCACACTAATTTTTCAAAAAAAATTTTTTTTTGAGGTATTTTTTGCCATAAATTTTGTTTCCATAAATTTTAAGAAATTTTTTTTGTTTTGAAGTGTTGATTTTAGGTGAATTTTAAAGGAGAAAAGTAGTTAAACTTTGAACTTAAAAATTATGTGAAATAAATATTTTTTAGATGGGAGGGGAAGAGTAAAAATTTAATTTTTTTTTAAATTGAAATTATTTTTAAACAAGTGGGGACTTGAAAATAATTTTTTGTTATAATAATTATACTATATTTTGAGGGGAATTTTTTAATGTTAGTTAATTTTTTTGTTAATTTTTTTGCTAATTTTTTAAACATTTTCTCTCATAATTTTACATTTTTCTTTCGTAACCGCACTTTTTTTTTCAAAATTTTTTTAAATTTTTATTCACTTCCGGTTTTTATTTCATTTCTATATGCCTACATTTTTAAAGAAAAGAAACTTTTATTTTATATTTTACACCTTTACACAAAGGTGTGTTTTAAAAAATAAATAAAATAAAAGAATTTTGAATTAGTTTTTGGTTTTAAAAATTTTTTTTGTTTTATTATTTTTGACTTTTAAAACATATACCCTCTATAGTTATCTTTTTGTTATACCTATGTATAAATAATTTAGTTAAACAGAAATGCCAAATAGGTGTTAGCTTGTTGTTTTAAGGCTAGAATAAATAACACTCAAAACTTTTCTTTTGTTTTACAAACTTGTTGTGTTTTTCTTTTATTTTAAATGTTTTTAAGGGTTTTTGTATGTGTTTTTAAGTTTGTATTTTATTTTGAACATTTAATTCTGATTTTTAGTTTGTATTTTATTCTGACTTTTTAAGTTTGTAATTTATGTATTTTTAAGTTTTGTATTTTATTTTGATTTTTTAAGGTTTGTAATTAATTCTGATGTTTTAAATAATTTGTATTTTCTGATTCTTAAGTTTTAAGTTTTCTTTTTATTATTTCAAGTTTTGTATTTTTTCTGATTTTTTTAAAGTTTGTAATTCTGATTATTTTAAATTGTTTTAGGTGTGTTTTTATGTTTCTTGATATTTTTATAAAGTGGTGGTTTTTATGTTTTTTAAGATAACTAATTTTTGTTGCTCACACACTCACCTTATTCCCCTTCCCTTTTTTGTGGTTTTTGTTGTGTCAGACCCTTAGCCTACCTCCACGGTTTTTTTTGTTCAATTTTCCTTTTTTTTTGGCCATGTTTCCTCCCCTTTACCTCCCCTCTTTTTTCATTTTACTAATTTCCCATGGCTAGAATTACTTCACAAAAAAGGTTTTTTGCTTCCTTTTCCCGTTCATTTTCTTTCAATTTTTATTTTATTTTTTTAAATATAAGAGGAATTGATTGAGAGAACAAATTTGTTCTAAAATATATATAAGGTAGTTAATTAAGCTAAAATATATGGCTATAATGAACTAAAAATTTAATTTTTTGGAGGATTAAAAATCTTTTTAAATTTTTTATTTTTATTTTACTCACTGATTTTTTGAATTTTTTTGCTTTTTTTCCTCAAAAAAAAATTTTTTTCTTTCTCCTCATTTTCTTTTTCTTCGTCTTGTTTCACTTGTTGTTCTTCTTGTTAATAATATTTTTTTATTATTTTTGTGTGCTTACCGGTGTCAATTTCAAACTAGTAGTCGAATGTTTATTTAAAAATACAAATAAATGGCTAACTGCGCATTCAAACATCAAAAAAAAATTTTTTAGTAGAAAAAAATATCCTCACTAACATATGTTCTCATTGTTGTTGTAAGGGAGGATAATCAATATAAAAAAATTTTTTTAGATTTTTTGAAAAATATTTTAATTAAAAAAAATTATTTTTTTTCTGTAAATCCTTTTCCCCCAATTTGTCATTAATTTGAAAAAATTAAAAAATAAAACCTCCTTTATCTACTTAAATAAAAAATGGATTTACTTCAACAATGCCAAACCCAATCATTTTTCCAATTACCAACAGAAAGTTGGGTTTATGTTTGGCTACTTGCTATTAAAGATTTTTATAAACCTATACATACGGTGAGGTTTAAAAATTAATTTTATTAAAAAATTTATTTTTTTCAGTACCTGTCAATAGTTTTGTGTGCGTTGGGAGCAATTTGTAATTTTTGTAATATTGTTGTGCTTACAAGGAGAAAGGTAAAAGAAAGAAAAATACAAAACTTGCAAATTAAATACAATTACAATCTCGAAAATACAAAAAATAAATTTAAAATATTTAAATAAACTTTAAGTGTAAACTTGAAAAATACAATCAAAATACAACTGTTAAATAAAATAAACTTAAAATTACAAAATTAAATGTATTTTCAAAATTGTATTTTATTAATTCAAGTTTGTATTTTTTTAAATGAACATAAAACTTGAGAATACAATAAAAATGTATTTTTGTATTTTTCCATAATGTGTTTTCGATGTATTTTTATGTTTAAAGTTTATTTAAAAAAAAGTTTCAACTTGAATTAAATTTAATAAAATACAATAGAAATAAACTTGAAAAGAAAAATACAAAACTTGGAAAAATACAAAAATACAAATATTTTTTAAAGATGAGAACACCTGTAAATATGATTTTGACAGCTATGGCTTGTTGCGATACTGTTGTATTATTTTCTAACCTTACTTATACAACACATTACACTTTTGGTATGAAAATTTTTTGAAAATTAAATCAGATCTTTTATAAAAAATTTTATTTTAAGTTGCCTTTGAACATTGTGTACCTAAACATTGGTAAGTTTATTTTAAATTAAAATAAAAATACAACTACTAACAAACTTAAAAGATACATTTTTAAATGTATATAAAATACATTTGTAAAATACATTAATTTATTTCGTAACTTAAAAATACATTAAAAATAAACCTAAAGGCTCCAACTGCTTTAATAAACTTTAAGTTTAAGCTTAAAAAATACAATCGAAAATACAACTTGTTAAATAAATTAAATAAACTTGGATTTCAAACTTGAATGTATTTTTTCAAGTTTATTTTTAAAAATACAAACTTGAATTATAAATTAATAAAATACAATAAAAATACAGAAAATAAACCTTAAAATACAATAATATTTAATTCCACCCTTTTTAGGTCTTATGGTTGGTGTGTTTTTCTGATCTCACACGCGCATCTTTCACTTGTTTTTCATTCCTCCTCAATTTGGCTTTCTGTAATGCTTGCTCTTATTCGTTATTTAACTTTACGACGGCGTGGTAAAGCTTGTGTTCAAGTAAAAAATAAATTTCTGAACAAAATTTTTTTTTAATTTTTTTTAAAGATTGGATTGAAACATTCTTATGTTGCTATTGCTTGTGTTGTTTTATTTGGTAAATTTTTTTTAATTAAAATTTTTTTTTCTAATTTTAAAATTTCTCTAGTATCGCTAATGAATGCTCCAAATTTTTTAACTTATAAAATTACTGAACAAACTTTGGGTGAAACTTGTGGTGATTTGGCTGTTTTAAAATATAAAAATCATACAGCTTATATACCTGGTGTGGCTGATATTGCTTTAAAAGTGAGGAAAAAAAAATTTTTTTGATTGAAAAAAATTTAATTTGAAGTCTGATTGTTTGGTCTTCCGCCTAGCTTTTTGGATAACTGGAGCTGTTTTTAAATTGTTTCCTTGTTTATTATTGACAGTCCTAGTGTCGCTACTTACACAAATTTTAAAAGAAGTTAGGGCTAATAGGCAAAGACTATTTTTTGGTGGTGGCTGTAGCAGTAGTACTTTTGAAGCAAATTCTTCTCAACAATTTTTTTCGGAGCCGATAAGTACACAAACTGGTGAATTTTTTATTATTTTTAAAGTTTTTGTAAGAATATCGAAGTTTTGAATAAATATCTAGAGAAAAAGTCCAAAGATCACGAGTTTTTGTGAGGTCAAGGGGGTCGTGGGTTCGAGTCCGCTCGGGGAATTTATTTTTTTATTTCTTGAAAGGGCTAAATTAAACATTTCAAATTAAATTTAAATTAAATTTAAAACATTTTCTGCATTAAATACTGATTTTTGGATGCCGTGTATTTTATTACACTAGAAAAACTAATTTTAGTAGACCTTTTGTAAGCATCACCTTACCAAAATTCTTAAAAAATTTTTTTCGAATAATTTTTTATTTAAGCTGTTCTCTTCCTTTTCCCCGTTGAATCTTCAAACAATCAAAATAATGAATCTCCTACAACAGCAACTAGAAGAGATGTATTACTTCAAAACAATGGGAATAATAACAACAGCAATACAACAATTAATTTATTAAGCCCTCCTCCTATTACTTCATCTACTTTAACTTTAAATAATAGAAATGACTGTACATCCTCGTCATTTATGAGGTTTTTTATTTTTAAAATAATTTTTTTAATGTTGCTATGTCTGAAAATGAGTTTGTGTATTTATTTGTGATCATGGAGGGAAGGGGGGGGGGGGGTCATGGGTTCGAGTCCGCCCAGGGAAATTATTTTTTAAGTTGATTGGAAAAGGTAAGAGTGACCATTTTGAATAGTTATAGTGATTCTTAGATGTAGTGAATTTTCATTAGATCAGAAAAGATTAGAACAGATTAAAAAATAATAGGTTTCTTTGAGGTCGTGAGAGGTCGCGGGTTCGAGTCCGTTCGGGGAAATCATTTTTTAAAAGTTGTTTGGAAAAGGCAAAAGTAGACAGTAGGTTGAGTAACACTAACGTTTTTTTATATTTCAAAAATTTTTTAAACTTAAAAAATTTTTTTAATTTAAGGAAAGGTATTAATGCCACAACTGCAAGTGTTCACCGAACAGACAGAACAACTCGAATGTTACTTGCAATTGTTTGTGTATTTTTGGTTACAGAATTACCACAGGGAATAATGTAAATTTTATTTTAAAAATTAAAAAAAATATTTTTTTTCAAAGTGCTGTAATGAGTGGAATGTTTTCTGAAGAATTTCGTTCCCACATTTACAATAATTTGGGGGATATTCTTGATTTATTATCATTATGTAATGCTCTAGCTTCTTTTATTATATATTGCTCAATGAGTGCTCAATTTCGTAATGTAAGGAAGAAAAAAAAATTTTTTTGAGAAAAAATTTTTGGAAAAAAATTTTTTTGAAAATTTTCAAGAAAAAAAATTTTTGAAAATTTTTGAAAATTTTCCGAAAAAAATTTTTTCTTAAAATTTTCTGAAAAATTCTGAAAATTTTTTTCAAAAAAATTTTGGAAAAATTTTTTCTTATTTTTCCCTTTTCAAGGAATTTCGCCGTGTTTTCCTTCCAACAACTCAACGTGTGAAATGTTGGCGTCAATTACTTGTATTAACTAGAAGAAGGAAAAGAAATGACGTGGAGAATATTAAATTTGAAAGAAGGCAGGAAAGTGGAGGTGGATGTGAAGAAAGTGATGGATTAGGTAACGGGGGGGGGGGGGGATTTTAATAAAAAAAATTTTCTGGGAATTTTTTTGGAATTTTTTGAATTTCTTAAAATTAAAAAAAAATTCTTTTTTAAAGTTGAGGAACAAGAACAAAATAATACAACAACAAAAAGTCCATTATTAAGAAGGCCAACAATACAGCAACAACCAATAAATACTCGAAATGGTTGTCTTTCATCTTCCTCTATTTTTTCAAAACAACAAGCAAAATAGAGAAGGAAAATGAATTTTTGAAAAAAAAATTTTTAAAAAAATTCACAGCCTTTTTAATTAATTTTATGTAAATAAAGGAAGAAAATATTTAAAAAAAATTTTTTTTTAATCTATAAATAGTTTGTATAATCTTTCAAAAAATATATATATCTATATGTATAGATTAAAGAAAATAATTTGACAGATTTTTTAAAAATTTTTTCAGCATTTTAGAATTTTTGTAGAATTTGTAGAAGAATAACTCCTTGGTGGTAAAGAAGCAGCTCCTTTCCTAAACCCTCCGTCTCCCAAATCTGTCCTGTTCAATGCTTGACTGAGCGCCTGAAGTGAACTTGCCTCTAATGCATATTCTGGTATGTCATCCGGCTGGGGAAGATTGGCACAAAATTCGCCAGGTAAATTACAATTACCGGAAGGTCTGTAGAACACAACTAGGTAGAAGAAAGGGAGGTTAGAATATAGATAGGGTTTCTGATTATAGGAAAAGGGGGGGGGGTGTGGCAGATTGGTCTTTCGCCTTTTTAAATGAGTTTCAGTACTTCCATGATTTTGTGGAAGTCAGACATTTTTATATCTTGTTCTCCCCTATTTCTTGTTATTAATGGTAATAATTGTTAAATGCGAGGGTAAACAAAATAAAAAATATTGGGAAAATTTGTATCTCCTCTAGCACTCCCCTCTAGTGGGTTTTCACCAGAACCAAAATTTTGACCGGAACCGGTCCAATTTGGTTTCCGGATCCCGAACCGGAACATCCGGTGAAACCCTAACCTCTAGGCCTTTTTAAAGGTACAAGGAATGTTTGATCATCTCCCCCTATTTTATCAACTGTTTAAAGGGGTTCCCCTTACCAATAGCCATACAATCAGTTGAAGTATCCCAATGCCTAGCAACACCCATTTCTGTTGAACCTCTCCATATCATTTGTGTAAAATGTCTGCATTCTTTAAGAGAGAAAAATTAATTTTATTTTTTGGGGGGGATTAGTTTACCTAAACTCCATCTTGGCCTAGAAAAATCAAAATGCCTGGCTTCTGTGGCCCATAGGGCTACAAGCTCCTAAAAAATTTTTTTTGAAAAATTTTTGAAAAATTTAAAAAATTTTTTTTACATTTCCAGTAGTCAAGTGATCTCCAGTGGTGCACTTAAATGATTCTGATGCTCCTTGAAACACCTCAACAGAATTATCCGAAGTTAGCAAATAAATATTTTCCCCAATTCCGGGCAACTCTGGAAACAAAAGACGACCTCGCTGTGTTAATTTGAGAGCCCATGTTTTGGCCAATTCGGCAAGTTCTTGAGACCAAAGTAGTGGAGGAATGCCGTAAATCTGGTTTGGAATTTGAGGTTTTTTTTAATTTTTTTGAAAATTTTTTTAAAAATTTTTTTGAAATTTTTTTGGGGTTTAGGAATTTTTTGAAATTTTTTTTGAAAATTTTTTAGGGGTTTTTGGGATTTTTTAAAAATTTTTTTTTTCAATTTTTTAACAAAAAATTTTGTTTGAAAACCTGTCTAACGTGATTATGAGCTTGTAAACATTGCCTTTGAAAATTGGCATCAACTAGAATTTTTTTTAAAAATTTTTTTCCTGATTTTCAGTTCTTCCCCAACTCACCAACAGCTGCAAATTTTGGTCTCCTTCTATTCTCATATTTTACATCTGTGCAAATTTGCATAAGTGATTTATCCAATTGCCCATCACTTCCACCAGCACAACTTGTAGCTGGTTCTGAATGGCAAGCGGAAGGTGCTGGACTAAGTGAAGGACAAAAACGATCAGGAGAAAGATGGTGGGTTGTTGACCTGTTTTTGGGATTGATAAGAGATGATTTTTTGTGATGAGAAGTGGGATGAATTTTGGCATATAAATATTTAGGAGAGTGGAGGTTAATTTAAAAAATTCTTCTATTTTAGACTAGGGATGACAATGCATCCAAAACCCTTGACTTTCCGTCCATAAACCCCTCTTCTACTTTTCTCTTTTGATATTCCTCTTAATCCCATGAATCCTCACTACTGACCCGGCTACGAAACCTGACTCCTTTTTTTCAACATGAAACCCAATCCGAAGAAATTTTTTTAAAAACACGACTTGTAACTCGAAACCCGGCTCTAGTTCGCAACCTGTGGACTGTCCTTCCTTCCACCAATAAATTTCTTTCGGATATATGTCATCCCTAGGAGGGAACGAGCGGTCCTGATTCCCAAAATCGGGAATTTAATTTTTTGTCGGGAATTTAATTTTTTTGTCGGCTCGTTCCCTGATCCCTAGTCTAAAATAGAAAAACCTCTGATTTGGACCCCAAAAATGAAGTTAAAAAATTTTTTTTAGTTTTTTACCTCGGAACATCAAATGTTCTACTTGATGTTAACAAGGAATTATTTTTTATTAGACTTTTATTATTTTTTGTAGTTGATGATTCCTTCCTTCCTCCACCAACACAATCAACACTTTTTGAATTACTCTTTAAGGAGGAACGCAAAAAAGCAGCAAATGAACGACGCTTTTTACTTAAATTATTTTCATTATTCTGGCGCCTAGCGGGTGTTGATGCTGATGTTGATGGAATAGAAGATATATTAGTGGAAATATCCCCATTCTTTTGACCACTACTACCGAAAATCCAACGCATTAAATTATATTGAGGTGGTCAAATCTAGAATTATGAAAAAGGAGAAAATTGAGGTGAGGTAAAAAATTTTAAAATTTCGAGAAATTTTAAAATTTTCTAGAAAATTTTTTAAAAAAATTTTTCTGGAAAAAATCAGAAAAAATCAGAACAAAATCAGAATTATTCTCTCTGTTACTTTCCCTTAGCTTATGGGTCGAAGGTTCGAACCCGCTTGGCGGTCGCCTAATTTTTTCTCTGTTATTTTGTTTTTTCCAACTTATATTTTTTTTTAAATACTCAAAAAATATGAGATCGGAAAATCTTTATTAAATGAGAAAAATAGGTAAATTAAAATTCTTGGCAGTGGGACTCATTTTCTCTTACTTTTCCTATACCTATAGGTCGAGGTTTCGAACCCGCTTGGTGGTCGCTTAAATTTTTTTCTCTGTCATTATTTATTTTAACCTTCCAAACCTTTCATTAACCTTTTAAAAACCTTTCAGAATTTTATTTTAAAATTTTTTTATTTTTTAGAATTTTTACGTTCTATTGGATTGAAAAGAAGTTAGTCAAGCATTATGTTCAAAAACATTATTTTAATTATTATGGTCAAATTATTCAAAAAAACATTTTATGATTGGAGGGCAAGTTCTTTTTCCGTCTTCAATTAAAAAAGAGAAGGTAAGGAGGCTTTTACTGCAACCCTCATTCCTTCTAGGGAACAGCTACCTTTACCAAGAAAAATTTTTTTAAGGAAGGTCTAAAACAACATTCACCTTATAATTTGGAAGGGGAGGGGAGGGAAGGGGAGAACTTCAATTTTACTGGAAGGGTGGCAATTTATATTAAAAATAAATTATGGTTCCAATTTAATAGGAACAACTTTATAATGTACTAAATATATATTTAGGGCCAGTCGATTTTTAAAAAGTGGATAAATAATAAGGAGGGGAAAAGCAATAGTGAGGAAAATGACTGTGCAAAGCCTGCTAACCACCCTACCAGGGAGATATATATTTTTGGGAGAGTACATAGAGAAAAGAAAGGAAAAGCCACAATTTTGTCTGTGTTTTTAGGTCCCATTGGGGATAAAAAATAAAGGGAAAGAAAGGGAGAGGGGATTTTTTTGGGAGGATTTTTTGGGAGGGAATATTTCCTCTACAAATTTGGAGGGAGAATAGAGGGAAGTACGGGGAGGGGGAAGAGAAGGGAAGGAGAAGGGAGTGAAGAGAAGAGGATGGGGAGGGAGAGGATGGGAGGGATGGGGGAGGGGAAGGGGAAGGGCTGGAGGGATGGGGAGGGTGGGGGAGATCAGCTGGAGGCGGAAGGGAGCAGCTAGAGGGGGAAGGAGGGAAGGGAGAGGGAGGGAGGGAGCAGCTGTCGACTACTTTTTTATCCTGCTTCTGCTCTAGAGGGGGACATGCTGTTTTTTCTTGTAAAGCTTTTGCTTGTAAAAGGCCTTAAAAAGACCCCAATTAGCGCAATTCACTACCACACAGACAAAAAAAGGAAAAAAAATTTTTGGGCCTAGCAAAAAGCAAAAGAATATAAATAAAAATATTTTTGTGGCGGAGAGAGACAATAAAAATGCCAAAAAATAAAAAGGAGGGAAAAATGTTTTTTTTTGTAAAAAGGGTAAAAATAAAATAAAAGAAAATTGAGGGGAACGGCAGAAGCATTTTTAAAGAAGGCTGGTAGTAAATATATATAGACAAGTTGTGTGTGTAAAAGTATTTTTAGGCCAGTTGGTTTTATTGTTAGAATGAGAGGGAAAAAGAAGGAGCAGGAAGGAAAAGCTTGGAAGAAAAAAAAAGAAGAAAAAAATAGCCAGAGGATAAGCAAAATATAAGTAGATATGCTCTAATAGAAGCCCTGGACGTCTATTTTTCAATGAGTCCTTTTGGGTGGGTTTCTATAAGGGCATGGGCTTCTATTGGAGCCAGAAGTAGATATGGGGAAAGGATTCAAGAAAATTAACATTTGGGGTATTTTGGTGATATTTTGTGGAAGTTATAGGGAGAGGAGAAGGGAGAGGAGAGAAGGATATTTTGAGGGAATCCGAGAGATTTTGGTGATTTTTAGGATTTTTTTTTTGTTTAAAATGTGTTCAATTTTTCCTTTTGATAGATATTGAATGAAGAGGGAAGAAGGTATATTTTGAGGTGTTGATTTATTGGGATTTTTTTGGGAAAGGTCGAGGATTTCTTTGAGAGTGATGTGTTCACTTTCTTGTTGACTTTTAAAAAAATTTTTTTGATTTTATTGACTGATCCGTCTAATAATAAATTATTTTCTACACTATATTTTTGCTTTTTAATTAGGGTCACGAGCGAGATGAAGCAAAAAAAATTTTTTTTTAACAAAATTTATGGATGGAAAAAGGGAGACAAAAATAATCGTGCTTAAAAGAAGAAAGGGGATTTAATTTGTTTTAATGAAAAAATTTGGCAAAAATTGGACGATTAAATTGGTTAGGAGGAGAGAGGAGAAGCAGATTTTGGTGCTCAGCTGGTATTTTTAATTATAAGGTAATATTTTTTTCCTTTTTATAATTTTGCTTAAAGCGATGAAAAGAGATGTCTGGGACACTGTTTTGTAGTTGAAATTTTTTTGGTAATTTTTGAAAAAATTTTGAAATTTTTTTTGACTTTTCTGGCTGACAATGAGCCCTGCCTGTTTAATGGGCTAATAATTAAATAAAATTAATTAAGCTTACCTTCCACTTATTTTTTTATTTTTAAAATTCAAGCATTTTCCCTCTAACCTCTCTTACCTAATTTTCTAATTTTACAACTTTAATGCCCTCCGGGGATTCCCTTTTTTCGCCACTTTTTAAAAACACTCGAGACAAATTTAAAATATTAAAGAAAGAACAGGTTTTTTGTCTTCCCTATTGTTATTATTATTGGCCTATTAAAAATAAATTTAAAAATAAATTTTTAAATTTCTACAAAATATATATTTTTCAGTTTAATTTAAATGCAACAATATTCATTGTTTATTTTACCTTTTATACTGGATCAAATTTCAACACAACTTTCCCCTATAATCAAACAAACAATTAAATTTGGAAATGTTTCTTTAGTGAGGGTAAATAAATTAAATGTTTTTGTTTAAAACCATGATGTTTTTATTGAAATCAACATGTTTATTTGGAAGGAAACGAATGTTTTCCGGAAAGAAATGTTTTGTTTTTATTTCTTTTGTATGTTTTCCGGAAAAAGTTAAATTATATTTTCCGGAAGAAACAATGTTTTTCTGGGAAAAATAAACTTTGTTTTCCGGAAGAAAATGTTTGTTTCAATTTCTCTTGTATGTTTTTCCGGAACATGTTTTGATTAAAATAAACATGTTTAGGTATTTGGAAGGGAAACTTGAATGTTTTCCGGAAACAAATGTCTTGTTTTTATTTTTTGTATGTTTTCCGGAAAAAATTAAATTATGTTTACCGTTTCTAGGAAAAAATATAAAATGTTTTCCGGAAAATGTTTTTCACCTTTGTATGTTTTTCCGGAAAGAAACATGTTTTTACAAACATTTGTTTTTAATAATTTTATTTTTTCAGGAAATTCGTTTTTCTGAAAACACAACATTAGTAGATGATATTAAATTATTGGACAGAATTTTTGAACAAAAAATAATTAAAGAACAATCAACTAAAAAGGAAGAAAAGAAAATAATAATAAAACAAAAGAAGAGATTAGTGAAGGATAAAGGCCCTAGAGCAAGAATTTTATTAGTTGGAGATCATTCATTGTTTGAAAAATTTTTTGGATTGTATGGTGAAGATGAATATGCTGGTAAAATTTAAATAAAAAATTTTTAATTAAAATAAAAAATATTTTTAAGCCTATAATGGTCTCAGTTTATATTTAAATGGAATATTCAGTCAATTAAAATCTGTGTTTGATAATCAACTTTATTTCTTTAATAAATTCTCTTTGAGATTAGAAATGGTTGGCATGCCAATGGTAAAGCTTAATAAATTAATTTGTTTATGTTTTTGGAAACATGTTTTTCCGGAAAACAAATAGAGAAAATAATAGATGTTTTTCCGGAAGATAAAATTTTTTCAATTAAACAAACATCTTATGAACATTAATATGTTTTCCGGAAAGAGAAAAATATTCGTTTTACAAAACAAACATCTCAGAACAATATGTTTTCCGGAAGCATGTTTTTCCGGAAAATGAACTGAACATTTTTATTCACGAAACAAACATGTTTTATTATTAATTCTGTTTTTATTTCCTTCCGGAAAATTTTTTTCAGATTATTCTTCGCCCAAAAGATTGCCCACTACGAGGGCCATTACAAAATTTTATCAGTCAACATTATCTAGATAAAATAAACACAACATTAATTAATTCTTCTGTTCCTTTAACAAACTCTTCTATTCAAATTCAACTGGAAAAACAACAAAAACAAATGAATTATGTTTGGCGTTCGTTAGATAGCTTAGTAGCAGTGCAGTGGGCAAGTAAGTGGGTTAAGCAAAATGAACCCACAGGGAATTTACCGATTCATGAACATTTGATGATTATAACAGCTTTGGTAAATTAATTGTTTTTATTAAATGTTTTCCGGAAAACAGTTATCTTTTTTTTGAAAAACATTTTTTGAAAACATTTTCTTCTGGAAAACATTTTACGGAAAACATTCTTTGTAAAACATTTAAACGTAAACATTTTAAATATTTTCCGGAAAACATCTTTTTCCGGGGAACATTAAACTGAAACATCATCTTTTTCCGGAAAACATTAATTGTTTTTCTGGAAAACATTTTCTTCTATGTTCGAATGTTTTTGAATATGTTTCTATAATTTTTGGTTGGAGTTTTCTTGTTTAAAACAATTGTTTTAAGTTTACTTAAACATGTTTTCTAGAAGTCAAAAAACATTGTGTTTCAATGTTTTCCGTTTAGAAACATTTTTGAAGTTGGAAGCATTTATTTTAATGTTTGAGAAACATGTTTTCCGGAAATTTTTAAATTTAATGTTTCTGGGATGTTTTAAAGTTTTGTTTTTTTAAAGGATTTACTTTCACATCGAAATGATTCTTCTACTCAAGGAATGGCTTATGTTCGAGCAATTTGTAGAGGTTATGATAGCGTTTCGGTTGGTTGTTTTGTTGTTGTTTTTAAATAAATAATGTTTTTTCCTCCCATTTCGGTGGTCGAAGATGTTGGCGGACTTAGCACTTCTGTGAGAATTTTTGAAGAAATTTTTGAAAAAAAATTTTTTTTGGATATTTTTTAAATTTTTTAGATTGTTGCAGCACATGAATTGGCTCATAGGTGATTTAAAAAAATTTTTGAAGCTAAAAAAAAATTTTTTTTTGAAGCTAAAAAAATTTTATTTATTAAAGTATTGGAGCGTCTCATGATGGATTTGGCGAAAGCGAAAATTGTTCGGCTCGTCAAAATTTTTTAATGACTCCAGTCTCTGCTTCACACCCATTCGATGCTAAATTTGGCGATACTTTTGGAAATGCATTTATTTTGAGTAAATGTTCTCGACAACAAATTGAAGATTTTTTTAAGTCGTTTAAATTAAAAAAATCTTTGAAAAAAAAATTTTTTCTTCAGTTCATCAGATTCTAATTGTCTTTGGTCAGAAGAAGAAGAAAAAAATTTATTCTGGTCAATGTTAGAAGAAGAATTTCAATCGTCTTTAAATGCTTTAAATAAAAATGGAAGCAATATTTTATTTGATGATGAAAATTATTTGTTGGAAGAGGAGAAACAATTGATGAATAATAAAAATGGAAAAGAAGAGGAAATTAAATTTTTAAAAATTTTACCGGGAGAACAATTTAATCCTTCTAGACAATGCCAAATAGCCTTTGGGCCTAGTTATGGTTATAAAAAATTTTTTTTTCTAATTTTAAAAATTTTTTCTAAAGTTTTTAGGACTTTGCCAGGTTGATTCTTGACAAATTTTGAAAAAAAAATCTTTTTAATTTAAAAGAGAATAGATTTCCTTTTGTTAACGTCTGATTCCTGTCGTCGTCTATGGTGTAAAGATAGACGCCAAAGACGGTGGGGGCCCTGTGAGACTAAAGGATTTTTACCTTTAATGGATGGAAGTAGTTGTGGAGATCGAAAGGTGTTTAATAGAATTGAAATTGAAATTTAAAAATTAATAATTTTTATAGTGGTGTATAAGAGGACAATGCCGGCCAATGCCTGGAGTATCAGAAGAGGGAAACAAGAACAGTAATAATGAGGAGAATAAAAGTTCGGGTAAACAATGAAAAACATTAATAAAAACAAAATCAGAATTAAATTAAAACAAATGTGTTTTGAAAGATATAAACAACAAAAAAATCAGAATTTAATAAAAACATAATCCAAAAATCAGAATTAAACAACAACGACTTCAAAATCTAATAATCAGAATTTATTAAAAACAATCTAACAAACATCTAACAAACAAATCCAGAATTAAAATTTAAGACCAGAATTAAATTAAAACATTACTTATAAATCAGAATTAAATAACAACATTAATAAGAAAAATCAGAATTATTTAAAAACAAACACCCAAACAAAACCAGAATTTAATAAAAACAAAACCCCAAACAAAATCAGAATTAAAACAATGCTCCAAACAATCAGAATTAAATAACAATCTTAATAAAAAATATCAGAATTATTTAAAAACAAAACTGCAAACAAAAACCAGAATTTAATAAAAACAAATCACCCAAACAAAATCAGAATTAAAACAATACTCCAAAATCAGAATTAAATAACAACCTTAATAAAAAAATCAGAATTATCTAAAAACAAAAACACAAACAAAACCAGAATTTAATAAAAACATTGACCCAAACAAAATCAGAATTAAATTAAAACAAATTTTTAGTCAACTGCAACGACGACTTAAATCACACGTTTTGTTCCAATTTTCAACATTCCCAACTACATTCTTTTTGCCAAATGATTAGCTTTTCAAGGATTTGTTGTTCTACTTGTCGTAGGCCTTTTATTAAAAAGATAATAAAAACAAAACAAAAAATTAATTTAAATATTTTTAAATATGGAAATTGATCTCAAAATTAAAGTTGATTTTCGATTTGTATTTTTTTTCTGTTCTGATTTATTTTTTCTGATTCTGATATGTGATTCTGTTTTGTATTTTTCTTGATTTTATTTAAAAAATTTTTTTTGTTTTTAAATTCGAAAATAACTAATTTTTTGGCCCCAATTTCCCCAAATCAACATTTTGTCCCTCTAATAAAATGACCGGGTTACTTGTTAAAAGTAAGAAAATTCTACTCAATATGAAAAATTATATTAATTATTTTACTTAGTATGCATGGGAATTTCGTCGTTTAAGATATTTTTGAACCATATATCATTAATTTTTGGATCGGGGAGTTACCATGGAACTCCCTTCAATTTAGTTTGAAATCAATTTGGATAAAGCAGTCCCGCTTTACCTCTCAAAATCCCCCAATTTCCACTTAATCCCTACATATTCATAAATAATTTTCAATGTTGATTTTATGAATAGAAATGCAAAGTTTACTTAATATGAAAAATTACATTAAATATTTTACTGTTTTAGAATTTTGTGGCTAATTTCAGTGGGTAGGGGATTCCTTAACAGAAAGGAAAATTCTACTTAATATGAAAAATTATATTTACTAATTTACTTAAACTTAGAATTTTATCGCTGTGTTGAAGAAAGTCTGGTAAGAAGATGATAGAAGGTGGGGTCCTAATTTTTGGATTGGGGAGTTTTTTAACTCCCTTCAATTTTTTGGTTAATTCTGGAAAAACTATATTTATTTTTATCCAGTTAATCCCTCAAAATCCCTAGATATTCCTAAAATTCTTTAATGGAGATTTCATTTTCTTTTAATTTAGTATTTTTTTGCTCAAACATTTCTTCAGATTTCGTTCCCAATCCTCAATTGTCGCTTCCCTAAATTTCTGGAAATTTTACTTAATATGAAAAATTACATTTATTATTTCACTTAACCGTAGAATTTTCTGGTTAATTCTGAGTAGGGGTGGTTCTTTTAAAAATTGGAAAAATCTACTTAATATGAAATATTCAATTAAATATTCTACTTAAATTTGGAAATTTTGTGCTAACTTAAAATAAGGGAGACGGAAGGGGAATTTTCTCGTTAATTTTTGGATTGGGGGGTTCATGCATGACCCCCTTCAAATTTTAGTTTTGCTTAATTCTGGATTTAATATCCGATCCATGCACAACAAAAAGATAAGTTGTTCCTTTTTAAGGAAATTTTATAATTTAATCAAAGGTTAAATCTCTGACCAGATTTTAAATAATTTTTTTTAGTTTTGTCCTTTTATTTGTTCATCGTTAATCACTCTTCTATTAATATCTCTGTTTTTTTTCTTTTTCGGTTGGTAGTAATTTTTTATAACCAATTCCCTCTATTTTAGTTTGAGGTTAATTCTTATACAAAATAAAATCTCTTAAACATAAACATTTTCTACTTAATATGAGAAATTATATATATTATTTTACTTAAGCATAGAAATTTTGCAATACTTTAGGGCCTAAATGGGAATTTAATTTTTGGATCGGGGAGTTACCTTGGGACTCCCTTTAATTTTGAGCTAATTTATTATTTTTTTCTTTCACTTATCCTTATCCTCCCTTATCCAACTTCACTTTCTGATATTTTATCGTGCGGATTTTTATTTTTAAAAAGAGAAGTAAAAAATTAATTTAATGAAAAATATTAAAAGAAAACAATTGAAAAAATGTGAAAAAAGATTTAAAAAATTAAAAAATTGGGTGAAATAATTTAAAAATTATGAATATTTTTAATTTATTTTTTGGCAGGTATTGCGAAGGGGAGTTTGGATGGGGTGGATGTTTTTATTGATGCTTTAAATGTTTTATTCTTCCGGAAAAACATTAAAATAAAACACATTCCGGAAAAGACGATGTGAGACAAACACATGTTTTTCCTAAAACATGTTTTTCTGAAATAAACATGTTTTTCTTAAAACAAAAACATTTTCCGGAACAAACATTTTCCGGATATTTCTTCTTTGACATGTTTTGTTTTCCTAAAACATGTTTTTCCTAAAACATGTTTTTCTTAAAATAAACATGTTTTTCCTAAACAAAAACATTTTCCGGAATAAACATTTTCCGGATATCTCTTCTCTGACTAGAATTTTAAATGATTTTTTCAAGTTTTGTTCTTTCTCTCTCTCTCTCTTCTATTAATATGTATCTCTTCTCATTTCCTTATTTGGTTTGGTAGAATATTTATTTTTTAATTTTTACCGCCAACAACCTTAAAATTTGGAATTTTTTCAATTATATAATAAAATTTCCAAAAAGACTCTACCAAATGATGAGCTTGACTTCCAGCTTTAACTTTACAGTCACAGCATGAAGCTGCTGAAATTGTAGTTGGGCGCCATTCATCCTGCCCATTTACCGTTACTTTTTGTAACACATCAAAATTTCTATATCGTTGATTACACGTTCCCCAACCAGAAAGGCAATAATCACTTGATTGACAAACTAATTCATTTATTAAACGGGGGAAATATTCTTCAGAAAGTTGACGCCATGTCTAAACAAATGTTTTTAATGTTTCCCCCTCAGGTTTTTGAAAATTACCCAACAAGCAGTGCAAAGATTAAGTTGGTCAGTTTGGTCACTTTCTGGTTCTCCTCTCTCAACACAGTTGATGACAAAACGATTTCCTTAAAATTAAAACATTGTTGGAAACATTGTTGGAAACATTTGTTTTTCCGGAAAGAAACATTATATGTTTTTATTTGAAGGAAAACATGTGTTTTGTGCATTACGGAAACATTTGTTTCCATTGTTTTTCGGGAAAAGAAAAGAATGTTTTTCCTCAAGTAAGGAAACAAAACAAATGTTTTTCTCTAAAATGTTTAACATTTTGTCCAATTATTGCCTCATTGACATTTTTTTCTACTTAATATGAGAAATTCGATTTATTACTTTACCTAAACTTAGCAATTTTATGATTCCTTAAGAAAATAGTGTTAGATAGACCACTAATTTTTGGATCGGGGAGTTACCGCGGAACTCCGTTCAATGCAGTTTGAAGTAGAGATTGAACCAGGACCGGATCCTTATTTTCGGATCTGGAAGTACTTGATCCAGATATTTTGATAAAACTGGAATTTCCGGATTTTTGGAATTTTAAAAATGTTTCCCAATGTTTTTCTTCGTAGAAACAAATGTTTTTCCTCAAAAATGTTTTCCCTTACCAATTACTGGTCGTTCTGCCTTTTTAGTTTGTCGAACATGCCTTCTATTATCTCGATAAATATCCCTATCAACTACTCTCATATTATTATATCTTCTATTATTTTGAGGTTGTGTATAATATGTATTTCTATATTTATTTGGATAATGTTGAGGAGGTTTTGGAGGAAAATAATGATGTTGTGAAGGAGATGAGGGGTGATAATTGTTATAATTATGGTGAGGAACATTTCCATCTCTCAATGGTATTGCTGTTGTTGATGTTGAGGAAGAAGAGGATGTGGATGACCGTTTTTGAGCCATTTCGTTGTTGCTGAACAAAGATGAAATTGGGTTTGTACCGGCAGCTTGATTCATATGCAGTGCCTGAAAATAAACATGTTTTTAGAAACAAAATGTTTGCTTTAACTACTTTCCGGAAAAACATTGTTCTATCCGGAAAATAAAAATGTTTTTAAGATTGTTTGTTTCCGGAAAATGTTTGTTTGGAAAAACATTATTAAAAACACTATCCGGAAACTGTTTGTTTCTATTCATTTCTTTCCGGAAAAACATGTTTTCCTTGATGTTTCCCCTTTTTAAAACATGTTTGTAAACATTTAAACATTCTCAAACTAAATTGTGTTTTGAACACAATGTTTTCCTAATTCCGGAAAAACATTTTTCCCATACCTGATTAACTTTGTGAGCAAACTCAGAGTAATACTGCTCCCTTTGCATTGTTGCTCGCATTGGGGCACCAGCAGAAATTAATTGTTCTATTGGTGCCATTTTTGTTGTTGGAGGTATATATTGCTAATTAAAGGGGATTTTTAATTTCTTGAATTTTTTGACTTACAGGAATCGGCCTTCCAATCCTTAATCTTGGACAGGCATTTGGTCTGAAAACAAAATTTTTTGTAAGGTTTAATAGGAGCAGACTTTATTTCGTTAATTTTAGGTACAGGAAATGTGTATTGTGGTGCTCCATTAATTAGGCCAACTTGTTTAAGCCGTGCAGTCTGAACAACAAAAATTTAATTAACAACAAAATTCAAAACAACAAACTAACAAGCATTCCAACACATTGCCGGCACTCTTCTGTTAAACATTCAAGTGTGTGGTAGCTCTAAAGGGATTGGATGGGGTGGGTTTATTTTTAAAAATAATTTTAAAAAATGTTACAATTTGTTGTCCACTCATTTCATCCTCAAAAATTCTAGGATCCATAGAACTATCAACAAAAGTTAGCATTGCTTCCCTAAAATGTTTTAATTTACCTATTTTCCTAAACAATGTTTATCGTCTTTAAAACATCCTTTATTTTCTTCCCATTTCCGGAAAACATTGTTTTCTCTTCAGAAACATGTTCATTTCCGTAGAAACATTTTTTTCTTCCTATTTTCCTAAAACATTGTTTTCTCCCCGGAAAAACATGTTTATTTTATGTTACGGAAAACATGTTCATTTTATTTTCCAGAAAAACATGTTTATTTTATTCTCTCTATTTTCCGGAAAAACATGTTTATTTAATTTCTTTCTACTTTATTGAAAAACATGTTTTATCTTCCGGAAAAACATTTGTTCATTTTATTCTCTACTTTCCGGAAAAACATGTTTATTTTATTTATTTCTACTTTCCGGAAAAAACATGTTCATTTTATTTTCCAGAAAAACATGTTTATTTTATTCTCTCTATTTTCCGGAAAAACATGTTTATTTAATTTCTTTCTACTTTATTGAAAAACATGTTTTATCTTCCGGAAAAACATTTGTTCATTTTATTCTCTACTTTCCGGAAAAACATGTTTATTTTATTTATTTCTACTTTCCGGAAAAAACATGTTCATTTTATTTTCCAGAAAAACATTTATTTTATTCTCTCTACTTTCCGGAAGAACATGTTCATCTTATTTTTATTCTTTCACAACTTACTCTATCAACGCTGCTTGATATCTCGAATCATATACCACACATTTATTTGATCCAGGTAAAATAATACAAGGGCATTGTTCAATATTATTCCCATATCTTCTTTGTTTCATTAAATCCATAAATGTAAGACTTTTACTAACACCCTCAGAAGGCATTAAATCTAATTGATAAGATTCTGCTGGGGATGGGGCTGGGATATTTGTAACTGATTGTGAAATTAATTCTTGTTTGCAATTACAAGAAAAGGTTCCCAAAAATAGGGTAGCTAGTAAATATATTTTACTTGTAAAATTAATTAAAGGAAGATTATTAGCACTTTTTGAATAACATCTATAATAAGTTTGGGGGTGTTTTTGTTGTTGTTTTGGAGGATGTTTGTTTTGTTGTTGTTTTTGTGTGTTGTTTTGTTTTTGTTGTTTTAGAGGATGTTTGTTTTGTTGTTGTTGTTTTGGAGGATGTTTGTCTTGTTGTTTTTCCAAATGTTTTTGTTGTTTTTCTGGATGTTTTTGTTGTTTTTCTGGATGTTTTTGTTGTTTTTCCAAATGTTTTTGTTGTTTTTCTAGATGTTTTTGTTGTTTTTCTGGATGTTTTTGTTGTTTTTCCAAATGTTTTTGTTTATCTGGATGTTTTTGTTGTTTTTCCAAATGTTGTTGTTGTTTTTCTGGATGTTTTTGTTGTTTTTCCAAATGTTGTTGTTGTTTTTCTGGATGTTTTTGTTGTTCTTCTAGATGTTTTTGTTGTTTTTCTGGATGTTTTTGTTGTTTTTCCAAATGTTGTTGTTGTTTTTCTGGATGTTTTTGTAGTATTAAAAATGGATGTTTGTTTTGATGTTTTAAAAATATGTTTTGATGTTTTTCTGGTTTCTCGTGTTTGCCCATTTTGAGCAAAGGGGGAAATGTTTTGTGTTTTGTTTGTTTGTTGTAGAAACTTTCTACTTTGTTTAAATTAATTTAGAATGAGGTAAACACATAACTTTTTGAAGGAGAAATAAAAACAAGAAAGTTTTGGGGGTAAGGAGAAGGGTTGTTGTAGCTTGTTGGGGGCAAGTAGGAGAAAATAAATTATAAAAAATTAATTTGTTTTGTGTAATTGGCTAAAAAACGAGAAAATGTTTTTAAAGTTTTTTTAATTTAGTAAATTTGTAGTTGTTTTAGAGTTCCCTAAAAAGCTTCTTTTTTGCTCTCTCTATTATCGCAACTGCGCAAATTATTAGTCATTTACAGTTAATAAATTTTATTTTTTTAAAGATACTTTCTTAAAATAGGGTATTTTTTGCGTCATAAAATTTTTGTAATTTTTTCATTTTAATTGGAATTTTTGTCTTTAATTCAAAAATATTTTTTCTTTCAATTGTATGTCTTTTTTTAGCAGCAAAAATATTTATTACAGAAATTTTTTAATTAATTTTTTCGGAATAAAAATATAAAATCAATTTCTTTCTTCCCTTCTTTTCTTTAATAATCAAATCACTATTTTTATGCGTCAACGATTTTTTCATCAAATTATGTTTGATTGTTGTTCCTCGTTTTTCTTGCATTCCCGTTGGCCATCAAACTTTTTTTTCGATATTCGTTCTTCTTTAATTTTATTCTTCGTTCCTTTCCCGTCTCTAATATTATTAAAATACATTGCGCGCATTTTTGTATTATTGCAATTTTTGTTTGTAAAATAAAGGGAGGGAAATGATCAGGTTTAAATTGTGCGCAAAAGAATAAAACAAAAACGCAAATGTTTCTGGAAAACATTTCCGGAAACAAATAATTGTTTCTTTTAGAAAAACACGTGTTTTTATTAAAATCAGAATTTTTAAAAACATTCCGGAAACAAATAATTGTTGTTTCCGTCAGAAAAACAATTGAATTCCGGAAAACTACCTATTTTCAGAAAAACACTTGTTTTTATCAGAAATCAGAATTTTTCAAAAACATTCCGGAAATAGAAAAACACTAGAATTATTTTCAGAAAAACATTTTCAGAAAAACATGTTTTTATCAGAAAATCAGAATTTCTCAAACTTCCGGAAATAAAAGAAACACATTCCGGAAATGAACAAACACATGTTTTATTTAAACCAGAATTTTTCCAAAACATTTATTTGCTTGTAAATCTTACAAAAACAAAATGTTTCAACAAGTGTTTCTTATTTAATGCTAAACAGCGTTTGCGCACATCTTTAAAAGTTTTACTTTTGCGCAGCATTTTCTCTCTTTCTTATCATTCTAATACTACAACATTAAACCAGTCATTTTGACTGGTTGTTGGTTTTTCCAATTAAATATGTAATTTTTGTTTGATTGTTGATTTTTTATTGGTTATATTGGCAAAAATGGAGGGGTTGTTGTGTAATAAAAAAATAAAATTTTTTAACATTTTTGCAGGGAAAATTTTTAAATTTTTATTAAAAAAAAATAACAATAAAAAAATCAACAAGCAAAAAAAAAATAAAAAATTATTCTTCAACATCAAAATGAGAAACTCTTATTCTCTTGCTGTTATTTTTTGATTCTGATTGTTCCTCCATAATTGAATCTAGTTCAATCGAATCACGACATATTGTGTCAAAATGATTAGATAATCTTCTAATAGATTTGTTTAAAAGGGCATATCCTTGTTCTATAGGTAATTCTAATTCTTTTGCAACTGTATCCACACTTTTCCGTTGTAATCCAACTCCAAGTAAAATTGCTGCCTGGCCTAAATCGAGGGAAAATGAATTTGCTATTTGTTGTTGTTGTCCATTTAAACGTCCATTAAAATAAATATTAGCAATAATTGGTAATAAATCAGAAATTAAATTAAAATCAGTCATATTTCGAGAATAATGAGAAAGTCGTAAAAGGTCGATATCAGAAAGTAGAAAATTCAATTCTTGTCGAGATAGAGGTTCTGAAAAGGAAGGGGGAATTAAATAAATATTGTGAGAGTGTTGTTTAGTCGTTTGTTTTCCGGAAATTATTAGTTGAAATAAACATTGAAGCAAACATTAAAGTAATTATATGTTGTTTGAGGAATAAATATGTTTTCCGGAAAAATGTTTATGGAAATTATAAATGTTTTCCGGAAATGTTTATCAAACAAATGTTTTCCGGAAAATGTTTAGGGAAATTATAAATGTTTTCCGACCATTTTTTTATCAAACAAATGTTTTCCGGAAAATGTTTGGAGGAATTATAAATGTTTTCCGGAAATGTTTATCAAACAAATGTTTTCCGGAAAATGTTTGGGGAAATTATAAATGTTTTCCGACCATTTTTTATCAAACAAATGTTTCCCGGAAAATGTTTAGGGAAATTATAAATGTTTTCCGGAAATGTTTATCAAACAAATGTTTTCCGGAAATGTTTTTATAATTCAAGATAAAACTTCTGCTTCTCCAAAAACATTTTAAACAAATAAATAAACATTTTCCGGAAACATAAAATGTTTTTAAATGTTTAAGTTTATGTTTACTTTTATTTTCCTGTAAATTCATTGTATCAAAACTTGTGCCCCCAGTAGAATTCATACAAAGCAAACTAAAAGCCATATGAGGACTAAAATCACTGAAGCAAATACTCAATAACGAAATAAAACGTTTTCTAAATTCTTTAAAAAATGAAGATAACCAAGTTCCGTCAGAATTGATTGTATGTAAATCTAAAAAATGTTTGGGAAAATTATATTGTTTGGGGAATGTTTGTGAGAATTTATAAATGTTTTCCGGAATTGGTTGTGAGAATTTTTAAATGTTTTCCGGAAAAATGTTTGTGAGAATTTATTAATGTTTTCCGGAAAAATGTTGGTCGAAAGTTATAGATGTTTTTCGGAAATGTTTGTAAGAAATCGTAGATGTTTTTCCGGAATTGTTCTAAGGGAATTAATGTTTTCCGGAAAAATGTTTGTGGGAATTTATAGATGTTTTCCGGAATTGGTTTAGGGGACTCTTTATAAATGTTTTCCGGAAATGTTTGTAGGAAATCGTAGATGCTTTTCCGGAATTGTTCGAAGGAATTTATTGTTTTCCGGAATTGGTTGTGGGAACTGTTTATAAATGTTTTCCGGAATGTTTTATTAGACAAATAAAGTATGTTTTCCGGAAATGTTTGAGAATTTATGTTTTCGGAATTGGTTGGGGGATTGTTTATATTTTCAGGAAATGTTTGTGAGAATTTTAAAATGTTTTCCGGAAATGTTTATGAGAAACGTTTATAATTCATTTAAGGAAGAACAAATATACCTTTTTCTTCTCCATTTTTTATTAAAATTGTATTAATCATAATACAATTATGTTCTCCAGTTAATCCATTTTTACTTTGTCTAATATATAAAGGAACAAAATTACAACGCTTCCAAAATTTTAATAAAGGCAATGTTAGGCCAAATGAAACACCAATATAATCCAAACTTTCTGGTCTTCTTTCATTTAAGCGTTGTAAAAGTGGAGGTAAATTTGTTCGAGGGGTTAAACTGTCATCATTATTTTCCTAAAGAAAAAAATTTTTTTTTGAAAATTTAATAAAATTTTGGGAAAATTAAATAAATACAGTCGGAACCCGCTTATAAGACGCTCTTAAAATTGGATATTTTTCTCAATTTAAAATTGGAGTTTAGGTATAATTAAGGAGAGGCTTATATGCAGAAGGGGATGGTTAAGGATTTTATACTTGTTCTTGTATTTACTAGGAAAATAATTTGCTGCCTCAGGATTCTCAGGACTGTCTCCGGACCTGTTTGCCTTCCCATTTCTTTTTAAAAAATATTTTTAGAAATTTTTAAAAGAAGGACTTCATCAGCTTATCGCCAGGCATTGAGCCTGAATTTCCCGCTAAAATTTATTCAGTCTTAAAAGTAATCTAATAATAAGGTCTAATAAATACAGTCCTCCGACTGTATTTAATTATTTAAAAAACCTCTTCATCCTCCTCTTCGTCTTCTTTTTCATCCTCTTCCTCAATTCCTTCCATATCCTCATCTAAAGTATCGTCTCTTCTCTTGCTTAACTTATCACTTTCTTGAATTTGACCAAAATCTCCTCTAAAATATTTTTGTAACATTCGAATAGCTGCTGATCCATAACCCATTCCTTTTAAAAAAATTATTTAAAAATTAAAAAAAAATTAAAAAACCTTGAAAATCTGGATGAACTGCTAAACGAACTTTAAAAAGAAAAAAAATTTTCAAAAAAATTTTTTTCTTACCAATACGAGCACCATATAAGAGAGAAAATTCACTGTCCTAATTTTTAAAAAGAATTAAAAAGAAAAAAATTTTTTTAAAGAATAAACCAAAAATTGTTGACAAATAGTCCAAGGAATTAAATCCCCTGCAACTTTTTTTCCTTGTTTTGAAATTACAGTTTGTTTTGAAATTGCTCCTAAAAAAATTAAATTTTGACTTGAAAAAATTTAAAAAAAATAAAAAAACCTTCCAAACAAATTTGAATAACAGCCATAATCTTTAAAAAATTTTTTTTTAATTTGGAAAAAAATTTAGAAAATATTTTAAAATTTCAGAAAAAAAAATAAAAATTTTTTTTTAATTTTTTCAGAAAACCTGAGGGACATAATTCTGATCAGAAGCAATTGGTGACATTAAAACAAATAGATGATGTGCTGGAGCGTCTGAAAGAAGTTGCAAATCGTCTGGAGAATTTTTATAGTGGGCAGCCTTTGGAAAATAATTGGTAAAAATTTTTTAATTAAAAAAAAAATTAAAAATTTACCACATAAATAAACATTAAATTGGATAGAAAAACTTCAGCAGCCTTATGAAAAGAAAAAAGGGCATCTCGGTTAACATAATACCTTTAAAAGAAAATTGAAATTTTTATAAGGGGCAAAAACATTATAAAAGTAGAAATAGTAGAAACATGTTTTAAAAGTAGAAACATGTTTTTAAACAACATATTTCTAAAACATGTTTCTATGTTGTTTTCCGGAAATGTTTTTACAAACAAATAAATGTTTTCCGGAAAGTGTTTTATATTTTAAAAGAAACTTTGTTTTTCCGGAAAGAAACACTTTAAAACAGTAAACAACCATTTTCCGGAAAAACATTTTAAATCTATTTTTCCGGATGTTTTTATTAATGTTTTTCCGGAAACTTTTATTAATTTGACCAACTTACAATTCACATTTCTCCGGAGCCGGTGTTCCAGAAATTGTATTCTTTAAATTTGAAGGGTTTAAACAAAGTACTCTATTAAGCCATTCTTCTACCTTTAAAAAAATATTTTTAAATTTTTTAAATTTTTTTAACCGAATCTCCATTTCCGTATCTAATACTTTCATCCAAACTTAATTCAAAAAGACGTTTTTTATTTTTATTTTCGTCTTTATCTCCGGTAATTTGTTGTTTTCTTAGTTGTTCAAGCAATTTAAGTGATAAGGATCTCCCAGAACCTTCATAACCACTTGTGGTTGATGCTAGGAAGAGTAAACTGGAGCCTTTAAAAATTAAAAAAAAATTGAAATTAAAATTTTTTTTTGAAAATTTCAAAAAAAAATTTTTTTGAAATTTTCTAAAAAATTTAAAAAAATTTTGGAAATTTTTTTGAAAATTAAAAAATCCAAAAAAAATTTCAAAAAAATTTTCTAGAAATTTTCTAAAAAAATTTAAACACACCATTAATTAATTTTTTAACTAAAGGCATTGGAATAGCTGCAGCTTCATCAATAACAATTAGTTCAGCTTGTAATAATTTACCAAAATCGGTTGGGGTAATATACTTTAAAATTAAATTTAAAATTTAAATTAAATTTAAAAAACCTGTATTGTTTGCCGATGTCTTCTAAAAACATTAATTTTAACAACACATTTATCCATTGAGGGATCTAGAGATTTTATAACTTCAAAATCGGCGTGTTCCTAAATTAAAATATTTTTATGTAAATCTCAGATTCGTAACACCATGGGGACGGGAAAAAATTAAAAAAATTTTTTCAATAAACCGAAATCGAAAAACAAATGGTAGGGAAGGAGTAACCCTTCTTAAAAGTCGATTAATAAAAAAAATAATGGCCAATAAAAAAACCAGACAAAAGAACTTGCCAAATAAAGCTACATTAAATATGCCGGATTGACCGAGAGACAAAAATGAGGAAACCTCAAAAGGTAATTTTCTACAAAAATTTTGTTTAAAAAAAACATAATAGCGGTTTTGAAGAAAGAGATAATTTTAGAGGGGATTTTTAGAAAAGGGGATAACTCCAAGCCTAACATTTGAGGGATCAAAAGGAATTTAAAAAATAAAACCTGATATCCAATAGCTTCAAAACCTTTCAAAACAAATTCAAAAAAAGTTGACAGATTTTCAGGTGTTGGACTAGTAACACAAATATTTGAAAAGCCTAAACCTATAGTTCCGGCAACAGCTAAACCCATAGCCGTTGATTTTCCTCTTCCTCTAGGGGCTGTTATTGAACAAATTGAATTTAAATTTGTTTGTTTTTCCATTGAAACATCGAGTAATTGAAGTAGTACTTTTGCTTGACAATAAGTTTTACATTTTGCTAGTAAGGGGCCAATAGGTTTTGAATCATTTAAAGATGCCTTTAATTGTTGTAATTCGTGTTGCTGTTTGGAGGATGCTTTGTCATTCTAGAAAAAAATTTTTTTAGATTTTTAAAAACCAAATTGAAGACGCGAGTGAGACACAAGGTATCTAAAGGTTTGGAAAATAAAAATTGAAGACGCAAGCCCTATATTTCACTAGGCCCAGAAATAAGAAAATTGGTCATGTCTCTGGGCTCAGAAAAATCAAGGGGTGGATTCAAAATCATTCCCATGTTTATTGGAAACCCAATATTCCCAAGCTTAAACCCAAGGATTTGGAAGTTTAAAGGAAAGACAACTGTCGTTTTTTTGGTGACAATAGGCGATATAGGAACTGAAAATAAAATTTAAAAGCAATGAAGTCTGTTTTGGAGTGCCGGTTAGCCGAATTTTGACAGTTATGAACGATTTCTGGATTGAAAATTAGCAAGAAAATCGCTAAGAAAATTTTAAAAAATCTAGTGAAATATAAGGGGGAAGGGAGAGGATTTTTAATTAAAAAAAGGAAAACAAAACCTGATTAGAATGTAAAGGTGTAATATTCAAAACATTAGAGAATATCGGCAAAACATTTAAATGATCATCAATAACAAAACAATTTGAACACGTTGAAAGTGAAAGTGTAAAACGTTCATTGAATCTTGGGATAATTTCTGAATGCAATTCTGTTCGATATCTTTTGTGGACATCCTTTGGAAAAAGAAAATTGAGAGGGTTTTTGGTTTAAAAAAATTTTTTAGAAATTTTTAAAAGTAACAAGGGGTCAAAAAATAATTTTGAAATTTTCGAAAATTTTTTTTTAAAATTTACGAACCATCGTTAAAGTGTATAATTGTTTCAAAGAATGCATATTCTGTAAAAGTAAAACAATTAGACCACCACCTTCAACTGTTTCGATTGTTCTAGCTAACAAGTTTGGAGTTAGAGCTTCGAAATCTGTGGGAAAAAAATGAGAAGTGAAGCGGAGAAGGAAAATTTTTAAAAATTTCCTGGAAAAATTTCTCCTTCCGGAAAAAATTTTTTCAGAAAATTTAAAGAAAGAAACCTTGTAAAACAGCCATTCCAAAAGTATTTCCAAGAATTCGTTGTGATTCGGAATAATAGCAATAATTTATGTGAGTTGAAAGAATAAATTGTTCAAAGGAATCGTCCGTCTAAAAATTGAAAAAAAATTTTTTTAAATTTAACAATAAGTAATTAAATTTTACTTTAGGTTGAGCAAGTCCAGCTTGTTTCTTCTTTTTTAATTCTTTAATTTTCTTTTTCCCTTAAATAAAAAAATTTTTTCTTGGGGAGATTTAAAGAAGACTCACTGTGTGAATTAAATTCCAACTCGTTTTTGTAGCACCAAAGGACCTAGAAATTTTTAAAATTAATTTTAAGACTCAAAAACGCTCTAGAATGACTTTAAAATATTTTTTCCTATTAATTTAAGAAAAAAGTAACCGAAAGGGTTCGAACCCGCGACCCTTAGGATGTGAAAAAATAAATTATCCCACTAAACCAAAAATTCATAATGAGCTCAAAAACGCAATAGAATGGGTCTAAAATATTTTTTCCCATTAATCTAACAATTTAAGAAGAGAAGTAACCGAGCGGGTTCGAACCCACGACCCCTATGCTTCCGAAAAAATAAATTATCCCACTACACCAAATATCAAAATTTAAAAAAAAACTAAATAAAATTCCACAAACCGTAGGACGTTGAGCAGTACTTGCTTTAACCATAATTTGATATAATGTAGCTACTTGATCTCTAGCCTTCTCTCCAATAATAACAAACATTGAACGATGTCGCATAATAATGCCATTTTCGATTAACGTACGTATACGGTTATCTAATTTAATTCTCATAATTTGTTGTTGTTGAGCTGTAAAAAATACGTAGATTTTTAAAAATATTTAAAAAATCAAGTATAAAGCTAAAAAAGACAGGCTAAAGCCCTCGTTTAAGCAAAACACCCTCAATGGCAAAATGAAAATTTTTCGCCTTATTGGCAAAATATGTATTGGCAGAATGTGGTAGAGTCGGATTCTATTTACGACGAAATAGTGTGCGAAAAGTGGAGAAAAAGAAAAAGACTAGAGTTGAAATGGAGGCTGCGACAAAATCTGGCACTGAAACGGTCTTTTGATTTGTCAATTTATTAAAAAAGAGTATGCGTTTGTGAGAGAATGTTAGAGAAGAAGAGAAAAAGTGTGAGAGAATGTCAGGAAAAGGTGGTTAGAGAAGTCGGGGGAATTTTGTTAAATTTTTATTTTTTTTTTCTCGCGTCATTTCTCTCAATAAACACGTGTTTTCTGGGTAATTTACTAATTTTTTAGATCATTTTAGAGAATAATATAGTTAAAAATGACTACACCCCATTATTACGACCAAAATAAAAATTTAAATTCCCCAAACCCTTTTGACTCCCAACAACATTTATTTGATGGACAACACCAGCAACAACCCAATTTTGATTATTATGCCCAACAGCAACCTCAATATGACCCTAACTTTAATTATTCTTCAAATATTCCTTCTGATACTTCTCAACAACAACAAAGTTTTAATCAACAATTTATGTATGATCCGTTTGTGAATACTGCTAGACATTTGGGTGGACAATTTGCTGAACAACAAAAACAAAAGGTTTTGTTTTTATATTATTGGAGGGTGAAATTATATTTCGAATCAAGTAGAATTTGTGAGCTTTGAGAATCTGAATTTGGATTATTTGTAGGTAGAGGGTTTATTGTTAAAAAATAAGTTTGCCAAGTCTGGTTGAAGGAGAGCCTGATTATTTAGGAAGGGTCCTAGAACAGCACGCAGTCATGAGCGAGGCCCTCGGCTCTTAATTTTTTTGCACTCCTGCCGTTTAAGGGGGCCGCCATTCTATAAAGCCCCTTTAAACGGCAGGAGTGCCATGCTTGGATCTTGACTAATTAAGCCTTGGTAGAAGTACAGGGCCACGCCTTGTATCCTAATTTTAGCTGATCAATCTAATTTTTCTAATTAAACTTTTCCCCTCTATTTTTTTCCAGATAACTCAATACATTTCTACTTTCAATTTAAAATATTATTTTGCTGTTGATGTAAATTATGTTAGACGTAAACTTTTAATAATATTATTCCCTTTTTTACATCGTGATTGGACAAATAAATTATCAACAAATGACAAGCCAATGACCCCTAGAGAGGATATTAACGGTTTTTTTGTTAATTTTTTTGCTTAAAATTTTTTTTGTTTTTACAGCCCCAGATTTGTATATTCCTTCAATGGCTTTTATTACCTATATTTTGGTTGCTGGAATTGTTTTTGGAGTTCAACAACGGTATAAAAACTTTTATATTTTGTGAACCTAGATGGGCAGGGATGGGAGGGGCAGGGTTATCAGAAACCTGAAACCTTAATTTGTTTGGGGAACACTTTTGGGGTTGATGTGAGTGTGTGGGGTCAAATGATAAGCCCATTGAGTTGTTTTAAAGATAACAAAGTCACTACATGTCCATTACTCTTTGTCTGGCCTCTCCCACATCAGGCAAAGGGACATCAATTTTATTTATGGGGTGATTCTCTGCTTTTATCAAAAATTTTTGGGCAGATTTATCCATACTCTTCGTTCACCACGTATAAGTGCTCAACCGATAGAGCTAACTTGGTCCTGACCATAGTTTAGGATGACCAACTTAATCCCGCTATTCCCTTAAGTAAGCAAGGTTTCTGTTCTGTGATACCTATGCAAAAGGGATGGGCCGGCTTATCAAAATTCGATCATTGAACATTTTTTTTGGCCTGAACCCCGATTAAAAGAACGCTATGAACCATGCCCCCACTTTTTTTCAATCTGGCCTTTCCCTGCTATACAATTTAAATAAATTTAGCATAGATTTTGACTTCTAAAATGAAAATTAAAAAATTCCTTCCTCCTAATTCTCTCTCAAAAATCATTTAAAATTTTTAGTTTTACGCCAGAAAAGCTTGGAATGTTGACAACAAATGCTCTATTTTATATGATTTTTGAGAATTTAATTGTATTTTTAATGAAATATGCTTTAAATATTTCTCAAAGTTTAGATGTATGGCATGCTTTGGCTTATAGTTCTTATAAATTTACAAGGTTTTTTTTGAGATTTTTTTGTTAAAAATAATTAATTTTTAATTTAAAGCATGGTTGTGTGTTTATTACTTTATTTAATCGGTGGAAGAAAAGTATATTATTTTGTGTTGGTTTATTGTATTTTGGCTACAGTGTTCTTTTTGGTATTCTTTTTTGGAATTTTTGAGGGGGTTTTAAGGGGTTTATACTCGTTTGAATTTTTTGCAAGTTTTATGAGTCCTTTTCCATTATTTTTGACCTTTTGAGCTTTTTTTTGGTGATTTTTATGAGTTCTCAATTCTCTAAATGGACACTTGATCCCACCTGATAAATTAAAGACTTACTCAATTTTTTTAAAGAGGGAGGGGGGGGGGGAGTGGGGTCAATCTTACAATTAGGATTGGAATCTTTTTGTTCTTGAATTGGGTGGATGGCTTGAGTCGGGATCAAATGTCCACTTTTTTTTTTAATTTTTTCATAGCTTCGAAGTCTCAAAACATTTATTCTTGATATGGGTTGGAGTCCAAATAGTGGTCGTAAAAGAAAAATATATTTGCTACTAGCAATTACAGCATTTCAATCTTTAATAATGTGGCTATTAACAAGGTTTTTTATATTTTTTTAATATTCTAGAAATTAAAAAAAAAAAAAATTTTCATTTTTCTAGTAGTGTAACAAGCTATATGCCAGGAAAATACGATTTTGCAAAAATGGCAATGTCTGGAATGGGGTTGTCTAATACAAATAAAGAAGTTCCTTTAATGTCAGATGGTGAAGTTGATTATGAGGCTTTGTTAAAAATGCCTTGAATTTTTGGAAAAAAAATTCTTAAATTATTTTTAATTAGTTGTTAATGTTAAGCATGTGAAAAAGGGATGCCACAAGAGTTATTTGAAACCTGGGCTTTTCTGACCCGAAATCTGACTTTTCTCGCCTGATATACCTGTTACTCACAATCACTTTTAATCCTCCAAATCCACTTTATACTGACCCGACCCAAAATTTAATCAGAAGAAAAAAATTTTTTTTAAACTTGACCCTACTTTTCCCCTCTTAAACCCGTGCCATTCCCTAAATATGAACAAAGAAATAATTTTTTTATTTTAATTTTGATAAATTTTTTTGAAAAAAAATTTATTTTTGAAATTTTTAAAAGTTAAATAATTCAAATTATTTTTTTGATTTTCTAATCTTTTCCTGTATTTTTAAAAAAATTTTCTCCAGAAAAAATGATTGAAGCATCTTTAGTGATTCTCTTTGTAATTTCTACTTTAATTGGTTTATTGGCATCATATGGAGGCTTTACCCGTTTTGTTTTTATTTTCTACTTAAAAATGGTTGTATTCCATTTGAGTATTTTATTGGCTGCTTTTTGTGCTTTGTTTGGTACTTTGATTACTTATTTTTATAATGAGGTTTTTTTTAATTTTTTTGGAATTTTTAATTAAAATTTATTTGAAGGGCTGTATTATCGCCATGAACTCTTTCAATTTTATCTGCTCGTTTTGGTTGGATATTGATTTTGAAATTCGAGGACTTGAAAAAATTGAAGAGGCGAGTGGACCCGAAAATAAGCCTGTTGTTCTTATTTCTAATCATCAGGTTTCTTATAAAAATTTAAAAAATAGGAAATTTTTTAGGGGATTTTTTAATATTTTTGAGGACCTTGCCCTTTCTCGCAGACAAAATTAATTTTTCTGGCTAATAGGTTCTATGGTTTTTTGTTTTTAAGGCATAGATTGGTGTGAAGCCGTCTCTCTAGTAGGGGTTATTTGAGGTTTGTAACCTTCGAGAAGTCCGAAATACTTAACTCTACAAACCCCGCCATAATACCAAACCATGGAACACTGGAGACTGGGAAGTTTTAGGGTGTTTGAGTTAGGGTGTTGGCTACTCATGACTTTCTTCCCGACTTGTTCAAAAATAATTAAATTTGAAAAGAAATTTTCTCAAAAAATTTTTAAATAAATTTAAAGAGCTCTTTGGATCTGTTCACCTTGTCAAAAATGTGGCCTTCAAAAACTACAATAATGATGAAAAGTTCGTTAAAATATGTGCCTATTTTTAATATTGGAGCTATTTTGGTTTGTTGTATATTTTGTTTTTTGAGGCCTAGAAATAGGTGGTGTCTTGGTTAGGTCGGTAAATGTTGGGATTTTTTTCGTGTATGGTTGAGGTTCGAAGCCTTTACAAGCGAAACGGGTAGGATATGTTAGAAATTGCTTTTTTCGGATTAAAATGAGGGGCAAGATTTCAAAAAAAAAATTTTTTTTTAACTTGTTGGGGTATCTTTTATTGATAATCCAAATAAATATTTCCCCAAATTTTTTTAAATTAATTTTTTAAATTAATTTTTATTTTTTACAATTTCAGTCTAATTCAATTTTTGTTGATCGAAATAATAAAAATAATGCAAAAGAAGCATTAAATGATGCGGTATTTTTTTTTAAATTTTTTTATTAAAAATTAAAAAAATAATTTTTTTAAAGATAATAAAAATGAAGGATAAAAAATTAAAAGTTTGGGTCTTCCCAGAAGGTACTCGACATCATCAACATGGACTTTTACCGTTCAAAAAAGGAGCATTTAATATTGCTGTTCAAGCACAATTTCCAATTATTCCAATTGTTATATCTGATTATACTCCATTTTATTCTAAAAAGGAAAAATATTTTTATTCTGGAGGGAAAGTAATTATACAAGTTTTGGATCCGGTGTCGACACAAGGGGTTTGTTTGATTTTTTTTATTTTGTTTTTTTGGGAGAGTACACGAGACTTGGAAAAGGGTTTTTAAATAGATTTTATCCTTAAGGAGGAAATTATTTTTTTTCTTTTTCCATTACCTCACTAATTATAGGGTTGGGGTTTTGAAAATTAAATCTTTTAGTTCCGAAACCGAAGAAAAATCCCTAATAAAAAATCTTCGGTCCTTCGATTCGGTTACGTACAAAAAATTCCCTAGTCGCTAATATGTAGTACTCTTACCTCACCTTTATCTAGAGCCATCCCAATTTCTAAAAATTGGAAATTTATTTTTATATATCGGCACATTCCCTATCTATTGACCACCTGCCAACAATTATTTTACTAAAATTATGTCTAAACCCCAAAAAATCAATAAAAATATTTTTCTATTTAAAAAATTTTTTAGCTTGAATATAACGATGTTTGTCAACTTTGTGAAAATGTTCAACAAAAAATGGGCCAAGTATATGAAAAAATAAGTGAAGAGGTTGCAAATAAAATGAAGACAAAACCTGTTGGTGTTAATGAGAGGGATTCTTCTTATGAAAAAATTAAAGTTGGTTAAAGAGAAATTTGTTTGGATTTTAAAAAAGAGGTTTAATTTTATTGTGTATTACTGCTGGTACTATATTTTTTTTAAAATCACTTTAAATAATTATTATGTGTATTCCCTTTATTAAATTAGAGACTTGAGGGTGTGAGGAGATAATAGAAATTTTTTGAAAAATTTTTAAGAAAATTTTTGGATAAGAGAGGGAGCGGCAAAACTTGAGGAGGGGAAGAGGGTTAATAGAAAATTTTGAAAAAATTTTCTAAAGGAAATTTTTGGATGAGGAGGCATTTGGAAAGACCATCCCCTCCCTTCCGTTTTCCTGTGTTTTTCGATTATTCTGATGGTCTTGTGGGTGTTTTATTCCATTCCTTGTCTTAAATTATTTCTATACTCAAAATATATTTAATAGAAAATTCTTGCTCCTGATTCTAGAAAAAATATTTTGGTTTTTGAGGCTTTAAGAAGGGGAAAGATTACCACAAAAATAATTAGAAATTTTCCAAGTCTCTAATTTTTTAAAACACTTAAAAAATATGCCGTCTAGATATCACCAAAGAAAATGATCTTTTATTTATATATAAATTTTAACGAGGTGCTTTTTTAAAAAGAATTTAATTTTTAATGTAAGAAGAATAAATATGTTTGATTTTTTTGGAAAAATCAGAGGGAGAATTAAAATTTAAAAATTATTTAAAAAAATACTTCTCTTTTTTTTAACATTCTTCAACATTTTTTAAACAATAAGTTACTCCCATTTCATCAAGTATATTAGCCAAAGCTTCTTTTGAAACGCCTCTTGTATCTTCCAAATCTTGTCTGAATGTGGTATACAATTTTTCCTTTTAATAAAAATTTTATTTTTTTAATTTTAGGAAAAATTTACAAGAAGTACAGGATTCAAAGTCAATATTTCATTGTACAATTTGGCATTGTTAGGCTTCCTCAACCAGCTTAGAAAGGTTTTTTTGAGTTGGGTTGTTTTCTTTAAAAATGATTTTTTATTGGAGATTAGGTGACTGGGTTTGAACGGATTTTAGACCCAGAAGTCGCCTCATGAAATTTTATTGGGAATTAGTTTAACACAAACTAGAGATCGTGTGGTGCCAGAAACCATTAATCTCTAGGTCAAGGCTCAGGGTTCTTTTGGTCTGTGGGGGTTTTCTATTCCGTTGGTCAAAGCTTGGGGGTTTTCCTAGCGAGTCCGGACTCATTTTAAGCATTTTTTTAGCTTCGGGGGGTTTTCCTATGTCTGGGTTTTTCATGCACTCCAAGCCCAGGAGCGGTCCATGTCAATAAACACCTGAAACTTCCTAATTCTTTCTGAATGAGTTAGAATCCAATTCCAGACTTGAAAAATCTCTATCTTTAAAATTAAACCTCTCCTCCTTGTTGTTGCTGTTTTTCATCATTTTTGGGCACTATTCTATTACAATCCTCTAGATCATTTTTATTCTTCTTCCATTCAACATCTTTATCTAATTCCATTAAAAGGGCGATTTTTGCTTTTGTTCTTTTTTGTCTTTGTAAATTATTATTTTCATTATTATTTTCTTTTTCTAATAATTTAATTATTTTTCTTGGAATTGGTGTAGTTTCAGAAAAAACTTGAAAAAAATTTTTTGAAAATTAATTTTTTAAAATAAAGAAACTTGGATGTGTTGCTTCAAATATTTGATTTAACAATCTTATAGCTGCTCTTTTACCCATTGGTCCGTGGCCGTATTTTGCTAATTCTGTCTAAAAATAAACTGAAATAAATTAAATGAGGGAGGGGCAGATTGTCCCAACGGAAAATTTTTCTTTGAAAAAAATTTTTCGTTGGGACCAAATGTCCTCCACAGTTTTAAAAAATAAAAAAAATAAACTTAAATTAAGCTCCAATTCAGTCATAGTTTCATAAACTGGAATGGGTGTTTTTGATTCTTCATTTAAAATTTTATAATCTAAAGAAGCAATAATATTATCTTCATCATCATTTTTTTCTTCCTTGTATTCTTCTTGATCGTTGTTAATTTCATCAAAAGAATGCCATAAATTACTAATTTCTGGTTGGTAAAGTAAATTTAAATTTTCTTCATTTTCTTCGTTATTTTCGTTATTTTGTTTATTTGGAAGCTCTAATGCCTTTATTATATCTAAAAAAATTTTTTTTTTGGAAAAAAAATTAAAAGAAAACCTTTAAAATTACTCGTTGTTTGAACCATTTCTCCTTGATTTGGATATACTTTAAATTTCTTTACAAAATTTTCTTGCATTTGTAGAAGAAGAGGACATGAACAAAGTGAAGAACATAATTCAGCTTTGTTAAGGGCCATTAAAAACCTGAAAAATTTTATCTTTAAAGGCCTTTTTAAATTAATAATTCTTGCGAGACTGTCTCTCTCTCTTAGGCAATATGTCATATTTTCTACTACCTGGCATTTTGTCTTTAGTTGTTTTGAAGATTTTCGAGAAAATGCAGTTTTAGTGCTCTTTTTCTTTTCCACTCTTCTTTTACTGTATCTATAATTCTCTTGTTCTGCATTTTACTATATTTTTCACTATTGACCATTTTGTTATTAGGTGTTTTGAAGTTTATCTAAAAGTTCAATTTTTATTTTTTCTTTGTTTTATTTTTCTCTAACCTGTCTCTTTTTTTACCGCGTACTTTTTTTATTTTTTTATCTTCAAGTCCTGAAGTTTTTTTATTAAGTTTGGCATTTTATGAACGGTTTTATGTCTAATTAGTCTTTTTCAGGGAGAATATACGAAGAATATGCTTCTAAATCCATTAAATAATATTCTGATTACCAATCGATTATCGCAAGTCAATGCGTTATTATGCATTATTCAATTCAACACGCGCGTCAAATGCCAACTGGCCAAACAAGAAAGGTAAAATATGATTAAAATAAAATCTCTCTTTCTTTCTCTATATTTTAAGCTTGATTTTCCCGTTTTTGATTGTACAGGTGTTTTATAATTTTGGGTAAATCCACAAAAACTCATTTTCTATCAGTTGACGGTATATTCTCTTTTTTCAGGCTAATTTATCCAAATTTAGTTTTTTTAAATTAGTCAATTTTTATTTGTTGGCATTTTAGTTGGGTGGTTATTTTTAAATTATTTCATAATTTTTGAAATTATTTCCCAATCGGATATTCGATTTGTCTTTGTAATAATCTCCCTTTTAATTGTAAGGATGGCCTTGGGGTTAGGATTCAGTTGTTTAAATGGAAGGAGAAATCATCGGTAGAACGGGAAAGCCTATCAATAATTGTCAGGAAAGGCTAAGCTCAGCCGGTAGTGAGCCTGTACGTGTTGAGCGAAAGCGTCTGTTAATAACTGCATTGACTTACAGGATCGTTACCCACCCGGATCTAATCTTTCGTACCTCTCCTCTTAATTTAATTTTTAATTTTTCAGTTTTCAATTTTGTCTAAATGTCTTCTTCAATTAAGCCATCATCTTCTTCTGCTCCATTCGATGAGAACAATATCAAATATTTTTGTTTTTGTAAAAAACTACACATTCGGGTTTAGTTTGATTTTAAATTTAAATATAAAATTTCTTTATTTAAGACTGCTGCTCGTCTAGTCTCCATTTTACTTGTAATTGGTGTTGTGATAAATATATTTTATTCATTTGGACGAACATCAACACTTATTATTTATTCATGGTTTGAACTTTTTTTTGATTTTTTCTGACTTTCCTGGGTTTTCTTATTTGGTTCAGGAAAATTGTGAACTGGGTCCGTATGATTGATTGCGCGTGCACTTCCCAGTTCTATTGAATCATGAGAATTGCGAATAGGGTTCCTTTGATTCATTACCAGGTTTTATGATGTCCTGTTTTTTTAAAAATCCTTTACCGCTTTGTTTTGTGTCGACATCAAAGGCTTAACCAGAGGGACATCCTTGGTCGACAGTATTCTTATGGGTACCTGTTTAATGATAAGATGACTTATTACTTTAATATACTCATTTTTAGGGTTCTCGCAACATTTGCAATTGGAGTTTATGGAAGTCTCGTTTATGGCGTTTTTCGTGAAAAAAGAATTTTTACAATGCCTTTTCTTGTTTTTCAGGTTTTTTAAATTTTTATTTTTAATTAATCTAAAAATTTTATTTTTTTAGGCTTCATTCATCTTTCTTATTGGAATGATGTTCTTTGTCTTTATGATTTGTGCAATGTTTTCTGTGGATTCACTCAAGAAGATTGCTTATGATTTTGGTGGTATAAATGAAAATGATACTAACAATTCTTATCATGAAAGTTTGTTTATTTTTTATAAGTTTTTTTGTCGTGGGTTTGTTTCTGCTGGGGTCCCATTGGGTCGAGGCTCTGTTACTACTCTCTTATGCTCATGACTAGTCGAAAATCTCATGACACTATGAGTATAATAGAGATCGAGATTTTTCAAAAGCCTGGGCTTGTTCCTCGCTTCCTGGTTTGATTTATTGACTTGGGCCGGATCCTGGGCCTGTATTGCAGTAAAAACCCAAGAAGGGCAACAATGCTTGGGCCTGGACTTTGGGCACAGGAAAACCCAAGGTCTTGGTTCAGGCCCAGCTCGATTTTTAAATTATACTATTTGATCCATTTTGACGACCCCCTTCTCCTAGATCGGTGAGGAGACCATTAATTCACCTCGTGGATTTTTTAGGCCTGTGTGCCTTTTAATCTTTTACACCGGAGATTAACAAAATTTCTTAAGTAATATGTTTCTTTTTTAAGGCATTCGTGGTTTTGTTATAATGGTAATGCTTTTCTTTATTGCCTTCTTTTCTTCGCAATGTTGGTTCTTTGAAGTAATTTATCGTTTTTATCAATATTTGGAGGAGAGAGAAAGTTCATTTGCTTTTAATTTGGAACCAGAATTTAGTATGCCTTGAAATCTTGGAGGATTGATGAGAGAGGATTTTATTGGAATGTGTGAGGAGAGGAGGAAAATGTGTACATCCAAGTTTGATATTTTTTCTATCAGCTTTAAATTTTTATTTTTTCCTTTTTTTTAATTTATCGGGACTTTAAAAAATTATTTTTCTTCTTTTCCTTGTGATTTCTTTTCCAAAAAAAAATTTTTTTTCTATAAAATGCATTTTATATACATTAAAAATATATTTTTTTATGAGATAAATTATATATTTTAATTGAATAAATTAAAAAAATTTTTTCCCAAAGTTTTTTAGAATGCCTTTAATTATTAAAATTTTATATGGCTCAGAAACTGGAAATGCTCAAGACTTTGCAGAACAAATATGGCAAAATTTGTATTCAAAAAACATTTCAACTCAATGTCTTGCAATGGATGACTATTCAATTAATGTTTGTTTTTTTAACTTTTTTTGGGCAAAAGAGTTTTTGAGGGCACTTTTTCAAGTTTTGGGGAATGTTTCAGTGGGTTCAGGCAATTTTTTCAGAGGGTTTCCAACTTTTAACAAAACTTGCCAAGTTGTAAGTGAGGATTAAGACGAGTAGCTCAACTAGGATTTGACAAATTTCACTGCTAGTTAATACATTCAAAAAGGTCTAGAGGAACAACAAGAGGAACAAAACTTGTCAGAGAACCTTCTTCCACCCTTTAACAAGGGGCTTCATAATTTTCAAGGTGAATTAAAACGAGTAAGGCTAAGGGGTGGATTAAGACTCGTGGCTAAATTGGGGATTAAGAAAAGCTCAATTTTTTTCGTTCTACTCGCGCAAAAAAAAAGTCAAGAGGAACTAAACTTAAAAGCAAAAACAGTGTCTCAACTCTTTTACAACACTAGAAAAACCAACAATACAAATTACAGCAAAAACAAAATATACAATAGCGCGCGATAATCAACGAGTATATCACTTTTTTCTATACTTTTCATCATCATCATCCTTCGCGGCGTTGAGCACGTGGGCGACGAAGACCTTCCAATTCATCGAACAGCATACGAATAGCTCCGTCTAACTGGAGAACGACTCTGGCCTTTAGAGAAGAGAATTCCTTTATCTTCTGTTTGATCTGTTTCTTCACCACCTTCTTCTCCTCTTCATGCTCCCTTTTTGTCTTTCGCTGCTTCTTGAGCAGCTCCTCGCGCCGCTCCTTGAACTCCTGACGCGCCTCCTTGAACTTCTTGCGCAGCTCCATCGTCTCCTGCTGCAATTGCCGCGCTTCCTCTTCCTCCTCTGCTGTCCTTTGTTCCTCAGTGACAGACCAAGCTGTAGAGACTCCTGAGACGTCCGATGAATCGGTCGGCGAAAAGCAGGTAGAATTCCCAATTGATGACTCGCACGAAGAAATACCAGAAGAACTGTCCATGACTGGCTAAAAAATAAAAGAAGGATTAATTTAGAAATAGAAACATGAAAAAAGAGAAAAAGGTACCTCAGTAATGAAGAGCAAAGTTAAATCATGAGATTTTTAAGACTGCTTTTATAGTGTTTTTCAGGGTAAGTGTTAGTAGTATTGTTAGATTCAAGCAAGCGATTTGATTTAGTATGTCAGTTTATGGACGTCAGTCTATCTAATAGGTATGCCTCATCTGTCGCTGTTAAGGAGGTTTCCGTCTGTCAATCGCTAGGGGGATCTACCAGAAGAACTGTCCATTTCGCTCTTGTATCTCGTATCGTTTACGGTTGATGATTCGTGTCTTTGTCGGTCATCAGTCTTTTTCTGACATCACTCTGTATCATCTTCACGATTTTCTTTTTAGTATAAAAATTCAAGTGAAAATATTGGCACTGTCCAATGTTAAAAAATAATTTTGTTTTCAAATTTTTGTTGGGAAAAGGAGAAAAATTCATTTTTAGTAGTAGTTCTCCATATTTATTTTACCGAAAAATTATTTTAAAATTTTAATTACATAAATTTTTTTAAAGCTTTTGCCTACAGAAGAATTAATTATATTTATTGTGTCAACAAGTGGGAATGGTGATGTACCAACTAATATGAGGAAAAGTTGGACTTTTTTATTGACTAAAAAATTGTTGGAAGGAAAATATCTTGACAAGGTTTGACTTAAAGAATTTAATTTTTTTCAATTTTTTAAGTTAAAATTTGCCCTTCTTGGTTTAGGAGACAGTTCTTATACAAAATACAATTTTGCAGCAAAAAAATTGTATAGAAGATTAATTCAACTTGGAGCTAAACCTTTGAGTGATTTGGCATTGGCTGATGATCAAGATGCTTTTGGAATAGATGGGGTATTTGAAAAATGGTTTTTTGAACTTTTGGAGAATAATAAGGTTTGTTTGTTTTTTTTGAAAGGTTATTAGGGACTTGGATTAATATATATGGGTAAATACTAGGGATACGACGACTTTGAGACAAAAATCCTGGAATGTTTTAGACCATATTTTCAAGAATTTTTTCGGGTCGTGTTTCCGATTCCATGTAACACACTCGTAGGACTCGAATGCTAGTGTCCTTATTTTTCACCCTTTTGGATTAGATCTCATTCACCGGCTGGAATTTGTGTCTTTTATTTTTCTTGCCCCACTACACTGTTTTCCTCAAACCTTTTTTCTTTCCAACATAAACAGTTGGAGCCTCGCCCATTATCTCGGATTTCGAGATAACGTTTCGGACTTTCCAATCACCTACTTCTCCCCCCCCCCTTTTCCTCTTTATTTCCATCATTTCTCCCGCGATTTATAAATTTTTGTAATTAATTTTAAAGGAATATTTTGTTTCTCAACCATCAACTTCAACTAATCCAAAATTTCATTTTGATATTCTATTGGAAGAAGAATACTTTAATAATAACAACAATTATTACCCTTTAACAATTATTAAAAATGAAAGAGTAACAAATGAGCAACATTTTCAAGAAACTAGATTAATTAGTTTATTTATTGGGGAAGATGTTAGAGAAAATTTTAGGTTTATATTTTAATTTTATTTGTTTTTTAAATTTTAATCTGTGGGAGATACTCTTTTTGGTTATTTTCTTCTAAAAGTCCGTAACTTTTTTGTCCGCAAATTTTTTGTCAGCAATTTTTAAAAATTTCCCAAAAGGATTTTGGGTTCTAGTTTATGAGTTCTCTGAAGCTTTATGTGTCCAACAAAAAAATTATTTGTCCGTAGAAAAATTCAAGGGTTTTTTTTTATTAATGCCATGGAGGTGTATCTGTGATTAGTTTGCCTCATAATTTTTCATTGGACTCAAAGCTTAACTGGACTCTTAAATAATGTAACTCCCCGAGTCTTCTGGCATAGGTGTTTGCCGGGCTAGAGCCTTCGGGTTTTGGGTCGGGGGTTTTTTCTAAAAAATTATAGTCTGGGGACGGGGAGCTACCCTACTTTTAAAGACTAACAAGAGCTTAAAAAATTTTTTTCTGATTGTAAATTAATTCTCATACATAATTTTAATTTTCCTATTTGAAAATGCCTACTAAGCTGATCTTTTTTAGAAAAATAAATAAAAAAACGAATTTTCGGATAAAAATTGCAGACTTTTTTGGAAGAATACACCTTAATGGAGTATTTATTTAGGTATAATCCAGGAGATGTGTTAATGGTATTACCAGAGAATTTAATTAATTCATTAGAAATGGCTAAAAATGTTTTGATCAAATGTAAAAATCTTTGGGATTTACCTATGTCAATTTGTAGAAGTAGTTCAAATGTTCCAATATCACCTCAATTTGTAAGGTTATTTTGTGAGTTTTTTTAAATTGATATGTAGTTTGGATTTTTTTATTTTTGGGTAGCATTGGTTGTGGCGTAATGGCTCTCAATGCTTTGTTTGCTTGTTGGGTGTTGGGTTTTGTGGTGTAAGGGTTGTAGGTTCGAGTCCGTTTATGATAAATTAAGCTTTTTCGAGTGAGTTTGTGTGAGGAAAATTTTTTTCGAGGTTTTAGGCTATCGAAAAATTTGGAAAAATTTTTGAAAATTTTTTTCAAAATTTCTTTTTGTAAATTAATTTTATTTTTTTACCCCTCTTTATAAAATTCGTATTTTTTAGCCTCCCAAAGCTTGACTCTCTCTGCTTTGTTTCAATATTATTTTGATCTTCAATGCATCCCCAAAAGAAGTTTTATTAAAAAATTTGCTTCAATAGCAGAAGATGAACTTGAAAAAGAGCGATTGTTGGAATTATGTTCTCCTGAAGGAATTGTTTGGATTTTTAGAGGTTTTTTGATTTTTTAAATTTTTTTCAGGATGATTATTATGAATATTGTATTTATTCAAAACGTTCAATATGCGAATTTTTGAGAGATTTTCCGCAAACTTCAGCATTATTAACAATTGGACATTTTCTCGATTTTTTCCCTATAATTCGTTCAAGAGCTTTTAGTATAGCTTCATCTCCAAGTGGGCATTTAAATGAAATTCAAATACTTGTTGCTAAAGTTAAATATAATATTAGAAGAATAAAAACGCCAAGGTTTGAATTTTTGATGAATTTTTAATTAGACGGAAATTTCATTCTTGTTGATACTCTCAAAATTAGGTAAACAATTTGGCGGATGCCTTTGTTAAAATTTGGGTTGGGCACCAGGCGGAGCACTGTCGTTTATTTTAAGTACTCCTTTACCCCTTCCATTTAAAATACTCCCTTTCCATTTAAAATGATTTTTAGCCCTTTTAATGAAGTTTGACTTAAACTTATTTAAAATAGGTTTGGTTTGTGCAGCAACTTTTTATGTTCAACAAATCCAGGCCATCAAGTTTATGCACGTATTAGTCCAGGAATATTTAAATATGATAAAGAACAAGTTACTCCATATATTTTAATTGGACCTGGAACTGGTGTTGCTCCTTTTCGTTCAATGATTGTTGAAAATGAATTTAATAGGTTTATTTAATTAATTAGGTTTTGTTTTAGGGTGTAAATTAGAAAAGTTTTGTTAAGCGTGGGTGTGGTGTAGTGGGTTGGGTGCTGGTTTTTTAGGTGGAATGGTTGTGGGTTCGATTCCAACTGTGGTTAAATATTTTTTCTTTTTGAAAAAATTAGTTGGGAATAATAAAAAATTAATTTGGCATTGTTTAAATCGGCATTCTATATTTTTTTATTTTCATAAAACTATTTTTATTATATTTTCAGAAAATGCCCAATTACTCTATTCTTTGGTTGTCGAAATGAAGCAATGGATTTTTATTTTAAAGATGAATGGTCAAATTATAAAAATTTAAATTTATTTACTGCATTTTCTCGTGATCAGGAGGAGAAGGTTTTTTTTATTTTTAGTTGTTTTTTAATTTTTAGTTGTTTTTTAATTTTTCAAAAATTTTTCTTCAAAAGATTTATGTTCAGCACAAAATAAGTGAAAATCCAAAGGAATTGTGGAATTTAATAAATTGTGGAGGAGGTTTTTTTGATTTTTTTTTAATTTTTGAAAGTTCTAAAAAAATTTTTTTAAGCAAAAATATTCATAGCGGGTAGTGCTGGTGATATGCCAAAACAAGTAATTAATTCATTTAAACAAGTGTTTATTCAAGAGGGAAAAATGTCTGCTGAAGAAGCTGATAAATTTGTGGAATTAATGGAAAAGAAAAAATTAATTCAATATGAGACGTGGAGTTGACACAAAACTTTTTTGTTGTTTGGTGCATGCTGCGATTGTTTTTCTACGTTTTTTTTTATTTTTTTTAATTTTTAAAATTTCTATTTGTTAATAAATTAATTTTAAAAAATTATATTTTCATGGTTTTCTGAAGCCTTAAATATTTTTTTATATTTTTTAAATCAATTTTTATTAAGCTTTTTAGAGCGAAAAATGGAAGACTTTAACATTGAGAATATTAATTCTTTCAATTTTTTATTTCAAATTTTGTCAGATTTTGCTTGTGCTCTCTTCTTGTCGCTATCTTTTGGACTTGTTGATTTTAATTATACAAAGGTTTCTTTAAATATTTCTTAAAAAAAGGTGAAATTAGGGTTATTTTTTGGTTGCTATAAGTAAGTTAACCGGTCGTGACGGATACTCGTTTACAGTTTGAAAATTTTTAAAAGTCCGCAAAAAAATTGCGGACGTCCGCGAAAAATTTACGGATGTCCGCAATTAGGTTGCGGAGTCCGCGAAAAGTGTCCGCATATTAAAAGTTTTTGTGACTTTTAAATTCTCAAAAATTTAGATTGTTAATTCATTTCTTCGTTTATTCTCTCGCAAAACTCAGGAAGAAATTTCATTGGACCGGTTAAATGAGCAAATGATACAAATTAAAAATCAAATGTCAATGCTTTCTCCAACTGCAGATTTTGCAAAATATTACAAAAATGAGCGTTTATTAAATAAATTGAAAGAAGAAAAGGAGAAATTAGGTTTTTAGACTTTTAAAACTAAAAAAATTATAAAAAATGTCCGCAAAAAATTTTGCGGACATCCGCAAAAAGTGCCCGCATTTAAATTGCGGACGTCCGCAATTTAAAAAATTTAATTTTTAAAATTTCTTTTCAGATAAAACAATATTTTCAAACTCAATTGTTTCTTCTGTAAAAATTAATATTGCTGTTAAAACTCTTTTTATGGTTATTGCAACATGTTTGATGTGGAAAGCTGAATTTTTTGTTATATTTAAAATGGATGCAAAATGGTTTTGGCCTTTAAATATTTTAAATTTGCAAAATAATGTTTTTGGTGGACAAGGAAAAGAAGAAGAAGGTTTATAAATTTTTTTGATTTTTTAAAAAGGGAAATTTTAGAATTAATTTAAATGTCGGGTCTGACCTCACTTTAATACTTGGGGAAAAATTAATTTCGGTTATGGTCCAGTTTGTGTCCAATGGATGAGTTAAATAAGAAATACGAAAAATAGGTGTGTCACAAAGTGTGACATATTAAATTTATTTAAAAAAAGTATCTTAAATGGTAGAGACGTCCGAGACCGAAAATTTTCCAAGACTCAAGACCAAGACCGAAAAAACCCAAGGAAAGTCTTGGAATCAAGACCAAGAGTCTCGGACGTCTATTAAATGGAACTTTATTTATATTTGGAATATTTTAGTGAGGTCCTATTTAATTTAATTTTTATTTTTTTTTAAGATTTGTATCAAAATGTAACATTGTTCAGCTTTGTTTTATTGACATTAATAGTAAAGAAAATTTGGGAATATAGAAAAAACAATAATAATGATATTAATTTTATTGGGACTGAAATATTTACAACTCACTGAGAAAATATAAATTAATCTTGACAAGAGGAGGAGGAAATATTTTAATTTTTGTTTTTTAACGAGAAATTTATTTTAAAAATTTTTTTTTTGGATTTTAATATTTATTTAAAGACTTAAATGACAAAAAATTGGACTTTTGCTCTTTTAAAACCAGATGCTGTAGCTAATCCAATATCTCTTGGTTGGCTTTTGGATGCTTTAAATAAAAATGGTTTAATTATTGAAATGGGTATTTTTTTGAATTTTTTAAAGAATTTTTACTTAATTTTTTTTAATTAGATAGGTTGTCGACTAAATTTGTCGAAAGATCAAGTTTCTGATCTGTATGAGTTTCACAAGGTTTTTTTAAATTAATTTTTTTTAATTGGTAGGGTTGGGTAGGACTTCACGGACTAAATATTATGGTAATGGAAATATTTAACGGGGAAATTTTTTTGAAAATTCTTATAACGAGTTTGTTAAATTAGGTGAATTGGTTATTATTAGGCAGTCGGTCCTCTACCCACCTAGTCACCAACCAAAAAAATTTTTTTAATTGTATAGTTAGATTGTGATTGTACCTAGTATTGTGTATATACATTTTAAAATACTCACACCCTTTTAAGAAGCTTCCTTTAATTTTCTATTATTTTTTTGTCGTCTAAAAAAATTTTTTAATTTGGTCTAAATTTTGGATCGCTTTTTAAATTCTATTTTTAGGTTCGTCGTCTCCTGGTTTTTTCAATAAAGTTTTCTAGGCTAATTTTGGGGGCCTCTTAGGAACCTTTTGGCTAATTTTAAAAAATTTCTTAAACAAAATTTTTACAGAATTCGTTTTATTTCAATCGATCACTCAATCATTTACGTTCTGGACCTGTAATAGCTATGAAATTAATTTTAAATGAAGAACAACACCAACAAAACTCAAAAGATGAAGCTTTAAAACGTTGGAGAAAATTACTTGGACCTGCAAAATTTGGAAAAATGTATTTGGCACAAGTTGGGGATTTTGATGAAATTGATAGCAGAAAGGGAAATTTTAGACAATTATTTGGACTTTCTGACAGCAGGAATTTTGGTTTGTTTTATTATTTTTTAATTTTTAGAGAGATTGGGACGGGTCAACCACCGTAAATCCTCTAGGAGAACCTTATATCTTCTATTTTTTAAGCCTCTCGTAAGGTGTGCTTTACACTAACAACAAAGAATGTGGTTTTTAAGAGGATGTGGCACCTAGTATTGTCACCGCCTAAATTTTCTTTTAGGAAGCCTCTTACATTAGGTTGAATTTTTGGGGAATTTTACCACAAGATTTGGTCTCGCAACTTTATTTTCCATATTTTTTTATTTTTCTTGAGGATAAAAATTTTTCCGTGGACATAAAAAGTTGCGGACTAAACTTGCGGACAAGAAAAATGTTTTTAAAAATTAGGAAAATTCCTTGGGGGTTTTTAAAAAATTAAAAAAATTTTTTTAATAAAAAGGACATGGAACAGGTTCATTAGAAGAATTAGAAAAAGAATATTCAATATTTGAAAAATATATGAAAAAAATAGAGGATCCATATTCTGAATTATTCCAATTGGATAAATATATTTATTTGATAGAAAATGAAGAAAAAGAAGATGAAGAAGAAATTGGAGGAGAAGAAGAAGAGGGAACTAAAAATAATTTTTTAAATAAATTTAAAAATTTTTTTAAATAAAAAAATTTGTTTGTTGTTTAAAAATTTTTTTAATTTTTTCTACTTGTTTGTAAAGCAAGTTTAATTAATTATTTTTCTTATTTATTTTTTTGAAAGAAAATCAGGAAGGAATGGGCTAGACTCTAATGTCTTCCACCTTTGGGTGAATTAATTAGTTGGTATATTTTGCCAATACCACATTTTGCCAATAAGGCTAAAAACCAGCATTTTGTCTAGCTAACCTTGTTGACAAAATGCGGGGTTTTTCTCTTGTTGGCGAAATGTGTGTTGGCAGAATATATTTATTTTTTGGCGGGCTTTAAATTTTTTGAATATTATTTTGAATTTAAAATTATTTTTTAAAATTAATTTCAGTTTTTGGATTTTACAAATATTTATTTTTTCATTCTCTACATAAAAAAGAAAAAAAAATTTGTTCTACTTTATCATTTTATTTTTACATTTTTTTGACTTGAGAAAATATGGCTGTGCTTATAATAAGGTTGTCTTAAAGATTTTTTCTAAAATTATGTTTTGTAGAAATGACAATGATTGTGAAGAGGTATATAATAGAACAACAGTTTTTTGTTACACAAGAATGCCTAGATCCAGTTTATGGGAATATGTTGAAAAATTGGAATTGTTGACTTCAGGTTTGAGTTTTTTATATTTGTTTGGGGGACTTCTACGGGTTAAAACAAGTTAGGAGCAAAGAATAGGAATGTGATAAGTAAAACATCGAGGGTTTTGTTGAAAGGGATTTTTCTGCAATGAAACGATTGAATGTTGACTTGTCTAGTAAGCAGTGTATCTGGGAGCAAGTACATATATCACGGTACTTATGCTCGAAAACCGACCTGACTTTTTTTCTCAATTTAAGACGTCCCTGGTTTGGGGTTTCCTTTTGCTTAGGAAATGATAGGACCTCGCTATCTGTTAAGCGATTGTCTGTCCGGAAGCTCCAGATTCTCTACCTGTCCGCAAGAAATTTACCGACAACTTTTATATTTGTGTTTAAAAATTTTCTACTTCTATACCTTTTAAGTGTCAATAAATAAAAATAAATTTTAGATAGGCAAGCTCTTTTCTTTAAAATAGATGTTGACATTTTTGCAGCTCCAGATTCTTTACCTGATCTCAAGGATTGGTTTCTTTAAAAAAATTTTTTTCCAATTTAAAATTTATTCTAGGTACATTCTCAGCGTTGTTTTAAAAGCACATAACGGCCCTTTCTCTTTTGGCATTTTAGTCAAACTTTTTTATGAATGTTTTCCACTCAAATTAATGGTTGATTTTTCTTCTACAAAAATGTTTATTAGCAGGTTTTTTTTAATTTTTTTTTGACTTTTTTTTCAATTTAAAGTGGAAGCCTTACAAACGATGGAAAATCGCTTGGAGCAAGCGAATTGGAAGCATTCCTTCGATTATCAAGTCATCATAAACAAACAATGGTTAATTCTGTGGAAGTTGCTGAACGGTTATTTTTTATTAGAAAGACAGGTTCTACATTTTACAATATTTTGTAGATATAGGTTCAGAAGGTGTCTATTAATTCTTTTATTAATCTGGTTTTTGAGTTTAGTGTACATGTTCCGAAAATGTTAACTGTTGGTACTTTTTCGAACTTCTAAGTGCTTTACTTAAGACTAGGAATGGACCGAGTTACCCATTAGTCGAAACCTGTTCCGAAGGAAAATTTTAAAACTCGAAATCCGATTCGAGTTTTTTTTCTCATCCTGGCCCTTCCTTGCTTCAGTTAATAGTTTGTCTTCCAATAAATATAAACAATATTATTTTTTCAGTTTCAAAGCCTTTTCAAGTACACACAAACCTACAGATGTATTAAGCTCTAAAGGACCTTCATTTTTAGTAGAATTAGCAAATAGATATAATATAATTGGTGGATATTGGATTATGTTTTTTCAAGATTTGGATATTTCTCAAAGGTTTTTTTGAATTCATTAATATTTTGGGTAAAAATTTTGGAATTTTTTGAGTCTCTCTCTGACCCTTCTAATTTAAAAAATTTATTAAATTTATTTGTTAAATTAAATGATAAAAAATATTTTTGAATATTTTTTTAATTTTTAAGAGAAGGCGCTTTCAATCTCTTACTTGAATCTGCATACAAAAATTGGGGACCTATAAGTCGTTTCAATGCAAAAATTTCTTCTGATAATTTTATTATTTGTTTTGTAAGTTTAAAACTTTTCTTTTTCTTTTCTAATCAAAAAAAAGTCCACAAATTTTGTTCGCAAATTCTTTAAATATTTTTTCTGACAAGTTTGCGGACAGAAAAATTGCGGACTTGCAGATTTGTAAAAATTATTTTTAATTAAAATTTTAGGGAAATAAATTAACCACAAGTATAATGAACCCAGCAAATTTGGACTCTTCTCGACGCAAAACTGAAGTAACTGATCCTGGTGCTTTAAAAGTTAGACAAATTGTTGATAAAATTTATGCAAAAAATTGTTATTGTAAGTTGGGGGGGGGGGGTTTTTTTAAAGGATTAAATTTTTTTATTTTTCTTAGATTTTGGTTCAATGCATATGAAATGTAAGGGTTTATTTTTGAATTTTGAATTAAAAAAATATTTTTTTCTTGTAGATAAACCAGACATTATGAGGTTTTATTTTTATTAAATTATTTTTTAAATATTAAATTATTTTTTTAAATTTAATTGTTTTTATTTAATAGTGCTTGTTGTGTTCAAAGAAATAATTCTATGAGACCAACAGGTATTTTTATGTTTTTAAGTTTGAAAAAAATTTTTTTTAATTTTTTTGAAATATTTTTTCTATAATTTTGCCTAATTTTCTATTTTCCATCAAATAAAAATTAATTACCACCAAAAGGTGTCGAACCCCCAACCCTTTTGTAGAGGGAACCAAGCACTATCCGACTACACCAAAATAAAAATTTTTTTGATTTTCGAGAAAAAATTTTTAAATTTTTTTTGAATATTTTTTTTCCTATGATTTTGACTATTTTCTATTTTCCTTTAAAATAAAAATTAATTACCACCAAAAGGGTTCGAACCCGCACCCCTTTTGTAGAGGGAACCAAACATTTTCCGACTACACTAAAATAAAAAAGTTTTTTTTAATTTTTAAAATTAAATTCTTTTTTAAGTTTACCAAGCAGATTATAACCCAAAAAATATTTTTAACAACAACAACAACAATAATTATAATAGTTCTCGTTCAAATACATCAATGTCGTCAAGTCAAAACAATTACAACAACAACAATTATGGGTGGAATGAGAGGTAGATTTAAATAATAATTTTTTTGCGAGAAAAAAAAATTTTTTGAGAAATTTTTTGAAACAAAATTTTTGACATATTTATTTTTTTGAAAATATTAATATTTTTGATACTCCTCCATTTTTTTCTTTTTTTTTTGTTGGTAATTTTTTTGTGCGCCAAAAAAGATTTTTTTAGGTGAGAGATTTTTATTTGTTCTATATTTTTGTTTATAATTTTTTTTTGTCGTGTCTAGTTGTATCAAAAATGTCACGGGGGGTTGAGAAAAAATAGGATCGGGTTTTCAAAATTTTTCCCTGATTTTTTTAATTTTCAGAGCTATTGAAATTTAAAATTTTTTTATTCATGTATGCCGCGAATAGTTTTGGAAATATATTTTTTTGAAAAATTTAATTTTTTGGCGCATATTTAAACAAAAAAAATTATTTTGTTTTAAAAATACTCTATAAACTTTTACAATTTTTTAAATATTTTTTTAAACATTTTTCAAAATTTCAATTGCCAAATTTTATATATAATTAGGGGAGTCAAAAAAACATTTTTTCAATTAATAATAAAAAATGTAAAAAAAAAACTATATATACAGTCGAATCTCGGTTTTCAAAAAAATTTCTAATTAACTTTATTGGATCGGAAAAAATTTATTAGATCAAGAGGGTTTCCTTAAATAGAGGTTCGACTGTTAAAACCTCAAAAAATTTTCCTTTTCTTTCTTTTTACTTATCATTTCTTAATTAATTATTCACCAAATCGAACAGAATTACTACAACAATAAGTCTTCATATAACCTTTAAAAAATATTTTTTATTAGGATATTCAAGAATTTTATTGCTATTTTTGTCTCATTATTTTAGGGTTGTCTGATAGTCCACTTGGAAGTCCCAAAGATTTTTTTGGTTTCATAAGTATTTTTTTCTTTTTTAGGTTTTTATTCCCCTCTCCCCTTCCCTCCTCCTATCCTCTATCTATTTTTATTTTTTTAATTTTTAAAAAAATTTTAAATCTTACCTAATGTACATCTTTTTGAACAACATTCAGTAGCAATTCCACTTTTTTTTACTGGGGCAAAAGCTCCATAGGGATAAAAACGTTTTTTTCTCCTTTCTGTTGTTTCTTCTGAATCTTGTTGATTAAATTCGAATTCTTCAGAATTATTATTTTCTTCATTATTCCTTTTTGACATTATATAACCTCCACATAACTGATTTTTACATATTGCGTTTAATGTCATTGTTAATTTCTAAAATTAGTGGGAAAATTTTTCAATTAGAAATTGGAAGGAGGGAAAATAGGGAATATTTTTAGGTCTAGAAAATTTTTTTTAGATTTTTTATAAATTTTTTGGGTGAAAAAAACTTTTTGTATTTTTTCCGTAATCTTCTGGTTTTTGTATTTTTTTTCATTCCGGAACAGGGGTGAGCGCATTGCGTTTTTTGAGATTGTCTCTTGCGCTCACCCCTGTTCCGGAATACTCCTTTGTATTTTTACTTTCTCAGAATGTTTTTCTGGATATTTGTATTTTTTCCGGAAATGTTTTGCACACTTACCAATCCACACAATCTAAATCCTCCAGTAGCCATAGTTGTTGGTGGCGTTAATAAAATTAATAACGAAAATATTAGCATTAATGTTGAGTGCCTCAATATTCTTTTAAAAAAATTTTCTAATTTTTAAATTTAAAAGAAAATTTTTTTACCTTTGTGTCCTGGGGTGTTGCCGTATTTTAATTATTTCCATTTTATTTTTTATTTTTAAAAATTCCAAAAAAATATTTTTTTTTTAATTTTTTAAGAATTTATTTTTATTTTTTTGGTAGCCCTAAATTTTTAATTTTATTTAAAATTGTATTTGTGTTTTTCCGGATTGTGTTTCTCTGATTTTTTATTTGTGTTTTCCGGAATGTGTTTTCTGATTTTTTGTATTTTTCCGGAAATGTTTGGTATAATTTTAATAAAATAATTAGTTTGATTGTCTGAATTTACGAATTTTTAAAATAAAAGAGGGAAAGAAAATAAATGCCACCCTAGAAAACTTTTACAGCCAAAAAACTGCGTAGGAGTCTTAAAAAAACTTTTAATGTTTTATAAAGATTTTTTTCCTTTTTTTAAAAAATTTACGGGGAAAATAACCTATAATTTTAATTAAAATAAAAGCCTATTATTATTTTTATTTTAAATAAAAGTGAGAGAATTTTAAAGTAAATATATTTAAAAATCGTAATATATCACGCAAATGAAAAAAATTATTTTTTAAAAATAATAATAAAAAAATTTCACACAAAAGGACAATAGAAATTAACATGAGGGGAGATTTAATGAATTAAGGAAGGCCGGAAAGGAGAGAAAAAATGTGTTTTGTTAAATAAAAACATGTGTTTTTGTGTTTTTCTAATAATTCTGATTTGTGTGTGAAGCGTTAAAAACATTTTGTGTTTTTCCGGAATGTATTTTTCTGTTTAATTGTGTTTTTGTGTTTTCCGGAATTGTTTAAATTTTATTCTGATTTTAATGTGTTTGTGTTTTCCGGAATTGTTTATTCTGTTTATTTATTTTCCGGAAGGATGTGTTTTTAAATTTATTCTTTTCTGTATTTTTTGTTTTCTTGTGTGTGTTTTCCGGAAATGTTTAATTTATATTCTGGTTGTGTGTTTTTCCGTTTATTTTGTATTTTTCGGAATTTTGTATTTTTGGTTGTGTTTATTTTTGTGAATATTAATTTTTCAGGGTAAATATTTAACTCAAAAGTTATATTTTTTAACATAAAATTTGGTTATTTGATATGGAAAAAATTATTTTATGTTATTAAAAAATTTTTTTTTGAATTTTTTTGGAATAATTAAATATTATTTACTTTCCCATAGGTGCCAATTTTTTTTCTTGAATGACATGGATATTTGTATATGTAAATAGTTTTAAGCTTTTATTCCAATTAAAAAATAAAAATGTGTTTATTTATTCTGTGTTTTTAACATTATAAATTATGTAGAAAATTAATTTACGTGTGTTTGTAAGAGGGGAGAATTGTAGAGTGGGGGAGGGGAGAGGAAAGGAAGGGGGATTGGTGTGCGCAACCTAAAAATTCTTAAAAAATTTTTTCTGAAATTTTTAATTTTTTTTTTGTTTAAAAAATTTTTCCCACAGAAGTAGACAAAAAAAAATAATTTTTTAAAATAAATTTTAATTAAAAAAATATTTTTTGCGCACAAGTTAATTGTACATAGTATAAACATTCTTTTTAACGTCTGTCTTCTACCACCTTATGGTATTTATATGTAAATAATTTAAAAATTCCCATAGGAATATAATTCTAGTTAACACGTTCTTTTTGCCAAGTTTTTTTTTAAATTCTCTAAGGATTTGTTTTTTTATCGCCTGACTTTATTTAATGATGTAAGGGGAGGGGAAGGGGGGAATGAAGGTTAATTTATGGAAATGGAGATATTATAATTTTTTAAATTTTTTAAATAAAATAGATTAGATGTGAATAAGTGAAAAATTCTTAGAGAGTTTAGGTTGTTTTAAATGTTAAAAAGTGATTTATATATGGGAGGGATATTGGGAGAAAATTAAAAATAAAAAATATTTTTTTATATTTTTAAATCCTAACACGGGATGTTTAAATTCGTAAAAATGCCATTTAAATTTAAAAAATATTTTCGTAGAATTAAAAGATATTATGTTAGGATAATTTACATGGACTATGATAAGGGGAAAATTAAGAACTTTATTTATTTTTTTAAATCCTAAGCAAGGAACTGGACATTATGTGTTTTTAAATATTAAAGTGTTATTCAAATTAGTATATGTTTTTTGTAAATGTGACATTTAAATTGAAAAAATATTTTCTTAGAATTAAAAATTCTGTGAGTATAATTTACGTGGAAGTTAAGGGGGAAATTAAGAATTTTATTTATTATTCTTTTATTTTTAAATCCTAAACAAGGAACTGGACATATAAATTTAAAATATATATATAAAGTGTTATTTAAATTTGGCAAAATAAAATTTTTCTGGGCTAAATTAATATTTTTAATAATTATAATTTTGAGGTGTATATCGCTTGGTAACGCCCTTCTAGAAAATATTTTTTTTGTAAATTTTTTGAAAATTAAAAAAGAATTTCTTTAGAAAAAAATTGCGTGCTTTTTAACATTTCACGCGATAAATAATTAATGAATAAAATTGTTTTTAAAAAAAAGAAAAATATATTTTTTGAGAGCAGGGGAGAGAAATTATAAAAAATCAGAGGAAAAAAAAAACAACTCTCTTTAAAAAATATTCATGGAATATTAAAAAAAATATTTTTATTAATTAGAAAAAAATTCTTTTTAGTTTATAAAAAATCGTCACACATTAAAAAAATAATAAATGTAGTCGG